TACATTAAAGGGCATTATTAAACAGGCATCATGTAAGAGCTAAATTTGCCTATTGCAGGTCTTTCTTTTAGGCCTTATATACTATTCAAAAAAAGTAGGGGATATTTGATTTTGGGGGCATAATACTAAAATATGCAAATGACAACGAAAAAAGTCACTATAGAACCTAACAGAAGAAACATTTCCAGTTACATGTGACGCCCTAACGCACCAATAGCTACCGCATGGAATGCAGGTGATGCTTGGGATCATCATGGGGGTCCAACCCAAGATTTGCACGACTCTGACTTTGAATGTTACAGTCATTGTGGCATTGAATTCCAGGGTGGAAACATCAGTTTAATTGTTTTAGTGACCAGAAAACAAATTTTGATATGCGTCGGCTTACCCAAAATGAAAGGTTACTTGCCCTTGGCATGCTACAGATCGGCACAACACAGGCGGTTGTGGCGCGGACGATGAATGTTTCTCAGTCTGTCATAAGCAGGCTATGGTCCAGATACCGTGATACACAATCTGTACAGGACAGACCACGCTCAGGTCGACCAAGGGCGACAACTCAAGCCCAGGATCGATTTATCCGTACCTTGGCCTTGAGAAATCGTGTCATCACAGCAAATCAGATCAGCGCTCATCTTCAAACAGACACTGGTGTGAGAGTGAGTGGCCAGACGATTCGGAATCGACTGCATAGGGGTCACCTTCGCGCCCGACGTCCTCGCGTGATCCCTTGTTTGAGAGATCATCACATTCAGGCAAGACGTCGTTGGTGTAGGGATCGTCAACACTGGGATAATCGACGCTGGAGCAATGTGATGTTTTCAGATGAGTCAAGGTTCACTGTTGATTTTTTGGACAGACGTAGGAGGGTGTGGTGTCGTCGAAACGAGCGCTTCCAAGACGTTAACGTCATCAGACATGATCGATTTGGGGGTGGTTCTGTTATGGTGTGGGGAGGCATCACTGTTGCTGGAAGAACGGCTTTACATGTTGTTGCAGGGCGTGTTACAGGCCAGTACTACCGGGACAACTTCTTGGCAGTCCATGTTGTGCCGTTCGCACGACGTCATGGCCGCCGTTTCATCTTCCAGGATGACAACGCAAGATGTCACAGGGCCAGGATCGTTACAGGTTACCTCCAACAACAGAACATCACCACATTACCTTGGCCAGCACTGAGTCCCGTCCTCTCCCCCATCAAGCATGTCTGGGACATGCTTGGACAGAGGTTACGTCAACGTCAACAACGTCCTGCCAATGTCCAAGAACTTGCTGCTTTGTTGCAACAGGAATGGGACAATCTGGACCAAAATGACCTTAGACGTCTCATTAGGAGTATGCCACGTCGGATCAATGCTTGTTTGGCAAACAGAGGAGGATTTACCCGTTACTGACTTGGTTGTGATGCTGTGGTAACTTTGCTGTTTGACCCCGGGTATCATTTTACCCTTATAATGGTCAGTCTGTGCCTTACTTAGTCTAACGATCATTTGGAATAAATCGATGAATGTGAACTTCATTTCATTTTGTCATTTGTTTCTTCGTCAGTTTCATTAGGTGACTTTAATAACACTTAAAAATCAAATATCCCCTACTTTTTTTGAATATTATATGTTATATAAATCATCAGTTAGATGGTTATAAACATGACAAGACTTTAATCAGCTCAAAATGCCATCGGATGCTGGACATTTTAACTAGAACGGTTCATCCATTTAATGATTTAATTTAAAAATAGAGAAGCCTAGCTAAGTCTTGAATATATCAGTACCATAATTATGAGAATAAACAATCAATGCACACATTTTTTTATACGTCCACATTTATAATGTGGACGTATATTGCCGTCGCCCTTGTCTATGTGTGTGTGGGTGTGTGCGTATGTGTGTCTGTGTGTCGCCTACAGGCCACAATTCTTAATCGATCGTTTTGAAAAAATTTCATATGAATTCCTTATACCCTAAGGATGATCCCTATTGTTTTTGGTGCATGCCCGACCCCCAGTGGCAGAGCCACGCCCATTTCTTTTATTCATTGTTTGTCATCTACAGACTGCATTTCTTAACATATCACCTTGAAACTTTGCGTACTTACTCCTTCTATCCTAAGGAACATCCCGATTGTTTGTGGTGAATGCCCAGCCCCCAGGGACTTAGCCACGCCCATTTTGTTTTTGTGTGTCTGTATGTCACTTACAGTCTGCAATGCTTAATCGATCATCTTGAAAACTTTTTATACTTATTCCTTATACCCTAAGGCTGACCTCTATTATTTTTGGTGCATGCCCGACCCCCTGGGACAAAGCCACGCCCAAAATTTGTGTGCCTTTTGTGTCGCCTACAGGCCGCAATTCTTAACATTTCCTTTTGAAACTTTGCATACCTATTCCTTTTCCCTAAGGATGCCCCCAATTGTTTTTTGGTGATTGCCCAACCCCCAGGGACAGAGCCACAACCATTTTTTCTTTGTGTCTCTGTGAGTTGCCTACAGGCCACGATTCTTAATGTATTGTCTTTGAACTTGGGATATGTATTCCTTATAGCCAAAGACGACAACTGCATATCACGACCCCCAGGGGCAGAGCCACGCCCAATTTTTATGTTTATATCATTTACAGGCCGGAATTCTGATGGATCAACTTGGTACTTGGCATATGTATTCCTTATAGCCTAAGGGCATCAACTATTGATTTGGTGAATGCCCTGACCCCCAGGGGTAGAGCCACGCCCAATTTTTGCCTTTAACGCCCAAAGGCCACAATTCTGAATGGATTATCTTGGAACTTGGTATACTTATTCCTTATACCCTTAGGACGGCAACTATTGATGTTGTCATATCAATAACAGGATGGTACCTATTTATATTGTTTCCATATCCAACCCCCACAGGCAAAGCCACGCCCAGTTTTTGTATTTATAGTCTACATGCTGCAATTCTGAATGGATCATCTTGGAACTTTGCATATTTATTCCTTATACCATAAAGACAGCAACTATTTATTTTGATGCTTGCCCCAACCTCCTGGGGCAGTGTCACACCAACTTTATTGTTAGTATTTTGTCTGGATATTTGGCAAAACAAACCCGACGCCTAGCCTTCTTTGCCTCTGATCATATTACAGCAATTTCATATTTCATTCTCTTCATTTTAAAAAGTACCATATATCAATCAAAGCTGGAATGTGGACATATATTGCAGCGTTAGCGATGCTCTTGTTCATAACTACAAACAGTGATAACTTAGCTCAGAATAAAGTAATTTGAATGAAATGTTCAATATATCCATTTTGCATTATTTAGTATATGTCCAAAGGATTTAGTTGCTGTGTGCATGTTTCGTTGTCTGGCAACATAACTTTTAATAGTGTGGTTATTATGATAAGTGTAGCTCGAATGACTAGCGGTTGTGAGAACAGTGAAATACTTAAAATACAGCATACTCTGATTAAATGATGGTAAAGGAAGTTGTCATAGGATTATTCAAGGATTTACTTAGGCTTTGATATTTATAAAATGAAATGGAATTTAACATCCCACTGTTCTGCTTCTACTGGGTTACTGAAGACGTGCATCCGCCATACAGTGTGCTATGAGGGAAATTTTGCCCGCACCGCAGCGCTACAGCTTAGCCTACTCTTACATTGAATTCCAACTGCCAGGGGATTTTTCATGTGCCTGCCAATGTATACACAGGACCTTGTTTTTCGTCCCATCTGAACGACTAGACAGCTGTACTTGTCAGGCCCCCCGTCCTGTACCATGGATAAGGGGAAACCACGCTGGAATATCCTGATGAACTTTCTCGGCCAACCCCGAGGAACAAACCTGTGACTTCCAGGCTTGCGAGCCAGCATCATACCCACTTAGCTTCGATATTTATATAGCAAATGGAAGCAGGTAGGTATCAACAAATAAAAAGCGAGTATGGAAATGGGCTTTCCCTCAACTAAGTCACTTGGCAAACAAGGCTGCTTAGAATAGATTTTTAGAACGAAGTTGTTGAATTCCCTGGGATTCAAATGTTTCAAGCAGTGGCGGCGTCGGGGGGGGGGGGGGCAAATAAATCCCACATCCCCACTCAGTCATAAACTTGCATGTTGTAAAGCATTTCCGACAGTCTATTTTTCAAAATTGTCTTGGCGAGGTCCCCAATGGACTCGCTACTTTGGCGCTCACAAGGGGAATTTGTTGAGGTTCGCAAGTCCGTTCGTTTGACATTTTGTTCTCTAGTCGAATAAACTAGTGATCAGGCGACGAACGGTATCTGGGCAGATCTATTTATCTCGACGATCGGTGCCTTGAAGAATACTGTAAGCCAGCATTTCCGGCAGTCTATTTTTCAAAATTTTCTGGGGGAGGACTCCCTACTTTGACGCTCGTGAGTGGGCTTCGCCGTGATTCGCAAGTACGTTCGTTGGACACTTTACCTCATCGATCAGTGCCTGAAATAATGCCAGGCTGCATTTCCGGCAACCTGTTTTTCAAAATTTTCTGGGGGACGCCCCCTACCCCTAGTTGAAGCTCGTGCCTTTGCCCCCTTAACCTTTGCCGCCACTGGTTTCAAGAAGAATTTATGAAGCAAACTTAGTTTTATGTTTTTTAAGCCGAATACATATTATCAAATCACACACATAGTTTCTACCTGATGAAGGCAATTATTTGAGTAATATATAATTAGCAGGGCCGCAACTATCTCAGATCAACGAGGGAGGTGAGAAATGTTCTCAGGGGTGCAGTAAAATTGACGGACAATGTATTATTGTCGACAATGGAGGGGGGGGATAACTTTTTGCAGGGAGGAAGCCCCCCCCCCCCCTCTTACGGGCCTGATAATTAGGCCTACTGCAGTGTCAGGGTGCAAGTGACTGTGGTTGCAAAAAACTTAAATTCATTATAATTTCATCAAAAAGAAAACTGGGCAAGCCAAGAGAATACGCCCACGTAAAGCGCGGTAAAAACAAAAACATACTGGATTGTAGAGACTATTCTATAAATAGAGCATTACGAGCTGCTGACGACAGTGACAACGAGGTAATATTTACGAAGCTTCTAAATAAAAAATGACATGTAGCCCGAAGTTCAAATGTATTGTTGCTAAGTTGAGACGAAGTGAAGGCATTGTAAATGAGGCTCATATTATTTACCCATATTTGGTTTATTAATGGTCGTTATTTATATTTTGAGTAAGTGTTTAGTCTACTCTCGGTTTCGATTTCAATTTCTTGTCATAGTGGAATACTTCCTCGTTTCAAATTAATAAATATGACTTTGTCTCTGTCTGTTGCGTTTACCACTTTTTTCTTGTGTGGTTCAACTATAGTTTCAGAATATTTGCCATATGGTTTTTATTCAGGACACCGATTTATATTTCGAATTAAAGTCATTATTGGGGTGATTACTCTACTTTCGATTTCTCTTTTCTCGTCATCGTAAATAAAATGCTTCCCCGTTTCTGGTTAAATATTTAACACATTTTGTTATGTGCTTTAGCTATAAGAAAATTTTCTGCAGGTATTTATTTTTCTCTTCCCTTTCGAAGAAGTCTGTTACTATTATAATGGGTTCGTCCATTTTTCATCCGTCCACGTCGAACACATATGTGTCACATTTGTTCAAATACCAATTCTGATTCTAATTGAGCTAGAATATTCAAACTTGGTGTATTTGTTTATCAGTGGAATGTTTGACTGAGTTTGATGATGAACATTTTCTGCTTAAGCAGAGATAAACATTTTGATTAGCTGTGACTTTAAAATACCGGTACCAACTCTTTCTAAATGATTGAGAAATGAAATGGGATTTAACCTCTAATTGATTGAGAGTGGTGGAATTGGGTGTGCAGTTACATAACATCAATAACAAGACTAAGTTCAATAATGTGCATTTTATAATTAATTTTCTGTTTGACCTGAAATCAATTTTAAATGCGAATATGTAGTAACTTAACTTTATGCCATATTAGGCTACTATATTATGCACATGCCTAGGTGCTGAAGGCTTCTCTGGTTCATGCGCATTCAGTACCATGCCATTGTATAATGCCCTACTGTAGAATACCAGTTTAGTACTGTACTTCCATTTACGAGTTGTGTTTTGTTTGAGATATTGTAAATGGTCTCTACTGACGCTGTGTTTATGTTTATGACCCAAAGATGCTTATTAATTTTTAATGATTTTCTATAATTTCTGTCAGAGTTATCATCTGATTAACGGTATTTTTTGTATAATAAATGTTAGCACCAGGAACAGCCAGAAGTCAATCAAATGTTTATTTGTTTCTGGAAATCGCTAACCTGGATTCGAGGTCCTATGTTTGATCCTTGCGTTGACCGAGAAAGTGCAACAGGATTTTGTGGCGTGGTTCTTCCTTGTCAGTGCAGTGTAGGACCGAGGGCCTGGCAAGGGACAACGTACAGTCATTTGGATGGTACGAAAAAAACAAGGTCTTGTGTGCACATGTGGATGCATGTAAAATATCCCTTGACAATTGGAATTCGATATTTCCCTCATGGCACTCTCTATGGTGTATGCCCTTCTTAATTATTTTTTTTGTCCCCCGCCTTTCGAAGAAAGCAGGGGACTATTAAAATGGGTTCGTCCGTCTGTCTGTCCGTCTGTCTGTCCGTCACACTTTTTGGGACACAATAACTCTCTTCCTAATTGAGCTAGAATGTTCAAACTTGGTGTATGTGTTTATTAGGTCAATGCCTTGATGGAGTTCGAAGATGAGCATTTTCCGCTTAGGGTAAGCAGAGATAAGCAATTTGATTGGTTGATGCTTTGGGACACGATAACTCTCTTCCTAATTGGGGTAGAATGTTCAAACTTGGTGTATGTGTTGATTAGGTCAATGCCTTGATGGAGTTCGAAGATGAGCATTTTCCGCTTAGGGTAAGCAGAGATAAGCAATTTGATTGGTTGATGCTTTGGGACACGATAACTTTTAATTGAGCTAGAATGTTCAAACTTGGTATATGTGTTTATTAGGTCAATGCCTTGATGGAGTTCGAAGATGAGCATTTTCCGCTTAGGGTAAGCAGAGATAAGCAATTTGATTGGTTGATACTTTGGGGCACGATAACTCTCTTCCTAATTGAGCTAGAATGTTCAAACTTGGTGTATGTGTTGATTAGGTCATGCCTTGATGGAGTTCGAAGATGAGCATTTTCCGCTTAGGGTAAGCAGAGATAAGCAATTTGATTGGTTGATGCTTTGGGACACGATAACTTTAGTTCTAATTAAGTGAGATTGATGAAACTTGGTGTATAGTTTCATTACAGTAATACCTTGACTAAGTTTGATAATGAGCATTTTCTGCTCAGGGTAAGCAGAGCGATACGCAATTTGATTGGTCGAGACTTTGGAAAACAATAACTCTCCTACTTTGATTGTCCCCCGCCTTTCGAAGAAAGCAGGGAACTATTAAAATGGGTTCGTCCGTCTGTCTGTTTGTCTGTCTGTCCGTTCCGCTTATTTGTGATAAATTTATATGTGTCCTCTAATTATTTTCCTATTTCGGCGGGGGACATCAGCCTCACTGTTGGCTTGTTTATTACCTTTTGGCGAGCCTCACCAAATGTAATATTTTTTTTTAATTTTCAGTTGTAAATAATTAACATTATGGCATCTAGCAAAGTTAATGTGCAGCAGAAATTAAAAAATGATATGGTTGTTTTTGTTGAATGTGGTGACATATTCTCCGTCAAAGCTGATGTCTTAGTTTATAGTTCTGGATCATCAAAGAAGAACCCAGGTGCAATTGCACGGCAGTTGGACATACGCGGAGGTGTGAGTTACAGGAATGCACTTGCCAAGTTACACAAAACACACAAATTCCTTGCAGAAGGAAACGTATATGAACTGCATCCAGGTGATTTATACATAGAATTTAAAAGTATCTACTTAGCAGTAACAACCATGTACACTGGACGTACCAGTACAGATTTATCAAAATGGGTAGAGAAACTTAAGAAATTGTATTCTACAATACTTCACAAGGCAGAAAAGAGTAAAATACAAATGATCACTTTACCCATTTTGGGATCAGGTAACATTGTATGCATGTATTTAATCATCTAATATGTACTTGTATCCAGTTTAAGGCTGACCATTCAATTTTGATGAGCGTCCAATTTACAAGCGCCTCATTTCTCGACCACTGTTCAAATATGATAATTAATTGGGAAATTATTAAAATCTGATCAGACATAAAAACTTGGTGAAACAAACTCAAAATTTCGAAAACAGTCCGAAAACATTCCAAGAATGTTTACTGTAAGACAGTATAACTATTACAAGTCTCAGTTATCTCTAATGAAATGGAATGCAATTGGGCTTAACTTATACATCTTTAGTATTAAAGAGAAGTTGATAAATTTCTAAAATATCAGGTGATCAAAAAATAGAATTGGCCGAACTTTAACACAGTTTGATTAAAACAGGGTTCCCGCGGTCCTTGAAAATCCTTGAATATCCTTAAATTTAAAATTTCATTTTCAAGGTCTTGAATATCCTTGAATTTCGCGGAAATAGAAAAATATCGGTGAATTTCAGTTGAGATCCTTAATTTTGTTTCAAATGTCTTCGTTATGAGATTATAACGATAGTTGGTAATGTTTTGGTTATTTTTAAGATGAAAAATTGTAACTTTAGGCTAAAAAATGTCCTTGAAAATCCTTGAATTTGACGTATATTTATTCTTGAATATCCTTGAAAAAATGTTTGACGAAGCCACGGGAACCCTGTAAAATACAGATCTATATTTCGTTCGTTTTTTTATACGCCCACATTGAAATGTGGTCGTATGTTGTTGTCGCTTCTGTCCGTCTAGAGGCTACAGTTAATATCCAATTGACTTTAGATTAATATACACAGTGGTTAAGGGCACATTTTGGGTGTGTTCCTATTTCAGATCGGTAGGGACAGGGCACCTTTAGGTGTGATCATATTGGTGGGGCAGGGTTGTTACAAAAGAGAGAGAGAGATACAGAGAGAGACAGAGAGAATTTAATGTCCACTCAACACAAACTATCATGGTACAATTTTATTTTATGCCCACATTAAAATGTGGTCGTATATTGTTGACGCACCCTGTCTGCCCCGTGACCACACTTACTTGTGCAAGCTCTAGAGGCTAAATTTAATGTCCAGTTGACTTTAAATTTATTCACAGTGTCTATAGTCATGAGATAAAGAAGCCTATTGATTTTCAACGATTTCCGATAATTACTGCCAGAGTTATGGCCCTTGATTTGGAGGCTAAAGTTAATATCCAATTGGCTTTATATTTATGCACAGTGTTTAAGGTCAGAGTTACTGCCAGAGTTATGGCCCTTGATCACTTTGAAATATCTTGTGGATGCTGCAGACGCTAAAGTTAATACGAAGAATCCTATTGATTTTCAACTATTTCCGATAATTACTGCCAGAGTTATGGCCCTTTACTTTTTCGAAAAATCTTGTAGAAACTATAGAGTCTAAAGTTGATATCCGATTTACATAAAATTTATACACAGTGTTTAAGGTTATGAGACAAAGAATACTATTGATTTGTCAACAATTTCCGATAATTACGGCCAGAGTTATGATCCTTGATCACTTTAGAATATCTTTTGGACTCTTTAGTAGCTAGATGCTAAAGTTAATATCTGACTGACCTTAAATTTATACACAGTGTTTAAGATCAATAGACGAAGCAGTCTAATTACTGCTAGAGTTATAGCCCTTAACCTCTTTGAAAAATCTTGTAGAAGCTCTAGAGTCTAAAGTTAATATCCAATTGACTTTATATACTACTCAAAAGAAGTTAAGGGTCAACCAATTATTTTTGTTTGACATTTTATTAGACACAGGCAACATGCAAATCAAAACTTTTAAGCACACTTTTGGTCAGAATGAGTTCAATATGTCTCAAAGTTGAGTCTGTTATGCAAAGCATATGCACTTTTTATACACAACTATTCTGAGGATCTGATGAAAATTCGCCATTTTGAGCATAATGAGGTCCAAACTGTCTCAAATTCGATAACTTTGTTAATAATGAATGAAACCACTACATGCTCGTAAGCAGTCGACACAACGACGAGGCATGCTGTCGATCAGACGTCGAAAAAACATCTGGGGAATGGCCTGCCACTCTGCCTGAAGGAATTGCACCAATTCTTGAAGATTATCAGGTTGCCTATGATTGTCTCTCACACGTCTGCCCAACTCATCCCATGCATGCTCAATTGGTGCCAAGTCAGGAGAGTATGCAGGCCAATCCATTCGTTGAATACCATTTTGGGTGAGAAAATCATTAACAACTCGTGCTCTATGCGGTCTAGCATTGTCATCTTGAAGAACAGAACCTGCTCCAATTTGATGAAGACTTGGGATGACAAAAGGCTGTAAAATTTCGTCTCTGTACCTGATATCCGTCAAATTTCCTTGGACAACGAAAAGAGGAGTCATGTGATGTACCGAAATTCCAGCCCACACCATTACCGTACCACCTCCAAAGCGATGGCGTTGTCTGACGTTAACATCAGCAAATCTGTCTCCTTGCCGCCTATAGACGCGAAGTCTGCCATCATTGAACTGTAATGCAAATCGGGACTCATCAGTGAAGAGTACCCGCCCCCATTGTCGCCGTCTCCAGTCTCAATGACGTGTGCACCAGTCACGACGTGCTGCCCTATGACGTTGAAGAATAGGTGGTCGAACCGCTTGTTGTCGAGATTGAATGTTGTGGGCTCGCAGACGATTTCTTGCGGTCTGGTCCGATACCTGAACACGACTTGCATTTCGCAGTTCATCTCTCAGACATCTCGCTGTAACTACGCGCTGACGTAAGGCCATTTGAATGACATGCCTGTCTTGACGTTGCGACGTTGATCTTGGCCTACCAGACCGTGGGCAATTCTGAATTGAATTGGTTGCCTGGAAACACTGCCATAGTCTCCCAATCACATTCTGGCTACAACCGATTTTCTGTGCCACATTCCTCTGTGTAAAACCCTGTTGAAGCCACGCAATGGCTCTTCCTCTGTCAAGTTCACTCAGCTGACGTCTGACCATGTTGAAATTTCAACTGAGAGCAGCACGGTCATGGAAGGTTTTTTTATGCCAAAACTGTTAATGGAAAATGCATAGTGCACGTGCATGGACATAATCAACTCCAAAAAGTCGTACCCTACTGCGTTTGGGCGATGCAAACAGTTTTGTGGAGCCTTGTTTTGATCTTCAGGTTATGGTTTCTAAGGAGACTGTCAAAATTGTTTTGTTTGAAAATGACATATACCTTATGCTTGTACAAAGGTTTTGTCTTCAGGATATCGTGAACCAATTTTGATACGATTTCCGCCAATAATTTTATATATATATCTGATATGTGCATAGACAATTAAGTGGTAGAAAAAAAGGTTTGACCCTTAACTTCTTTTGAGTAGTATATTTATACACAATGTTAAAGGTCATGAGAGACTATAATCAATTCCCAATGCCATCGGCTGCCTGCGATATTTAGCAGATTGGAATACATTTTGTGAAGGACAATTAAACGTAAAAATGGATAATCAAGAATGATTTTTTTATCCTACCGACTTTAGAAATGGTGATCCAGGCTAGTTTAAAATTCAAAAGCTAATATCTTGGTTCAGCGTGGAGCAATTTGACTGAAATTTTCAGTATATTCTATTTACATTATCTATTTTTTAACTTTTATAGCGAGAACTGTCAACTCTTTATCTAATCTCCCATAATGCCCCTTTAAAGGACAAGTGTAGACTACTTGTAGGATCTATGCAGAACATGCTTGTTTTAATTCAGTTAAAACATCTTAATATTCTATGGGTGGGTTTACCAAGCAATGTAGTATTCGGTCAATTTTTTTTTTTTTGGAACACCAGATATAATAGTCTTTGAATACAATGTTTTCTATTTATTTCAGGTTTGGCAAACGGACCAGTTGATAAGTGTATAAAAGCAGCTATTGAAAGTTTTAATGATTTCAAACGTAAACATTTATTATTCATTAATATAGTTTCTAATGATTACAATACATACTTAAAGATATGTGATGAATTAAAGTCAAGGGCACCAGTAGACACTAAAATTACATCATCATCTACAAGTTCAAAAAACAGTTTTAAAAAATCCTTTGATACTGATGCAACACATTCAATAAAACAGATGCCAGGGGGACGGAGCTATGCTGATGTCACTGTTTCACAAAAGAATGATGGTAGTAGATCGCAAAATATTGATGATATGCAATGTAAAACAGAAAAAACCAAAACAAAACGCAGAATATCAAAGGAGAGATCCAAATCCCCAAATCGTCAACGTACTAATGAGAGCTATGAAGACGTAGAAAATAATCGTCCTTCGAATATAGCACAAAGAAAACGACGACCAAATCTGGCAGACAAAATCTCAAAGAAATCGGACAATGTTGGATCATCCACAAATGGTACGACTTACAGACAAGATGGTTTAAAAGACAAGGAAGAGTACCCTCCCTTGAAAAATGGAAACTCTGATTCACCTCACGATCAATTCAAATTCGATGAAGCAAGAAAAAACAGAAAGACTTCCAGGAAGTCTTCAGAGGAATATCAAAATGATGACGACTGTGGTGATACTTCTTACAGTTCAATAGAAGATACTGTTTCTGATTCTATTCGTAAGCATAAGCATAAGGAGTCTAGTGTGGACAAAATCTGTGAACATTGTCGAAAAGTTAATTGTGGGTTTAGTCTTAGTTTAACATGTGGTCATACAGTCTGCGGTAAATGTGGGGGGAAAAATGAAGTATGTCCATCTATTCATCTGTCCACTTGTGAACATTGTAACAAAAAATTCACAGGTCCTGACTGTTCACTTAGTTGCGGCCATCGTCTTTGCCTTAAGTGTGGGGCAGCTAATGACGTCTGTCCAATTGCAAGAGGTAAGGATCCTGAATATGAAAATACCTTACAAAGAGAAATGCAAAATGGCAGTGACGAGGAAGAAGATGACATTGAAACTTGCGCTATCTGTATGGATGTAGCTTATAATCCAAAATGTTTGAGTAAATGTGGCCATGTTTTTTGTACAGATTGTATTGAGACCTGTTTTAAACTTTACAAACCTGTCTGTCCAACTTGTGGAACAACTTATGGTATTTTGAAAGGTGATCAGCCAACTGGTGTCATGAAGATCACAAAGTCCTATAGAGGAGTAGAAGGAGAAGAAAATTGTGGCTGCTATGAGATAAATTATGCTTTTTCGTCTGGTGTTCAAGATGTAAGTACATATACATGTAACCAATGTTATAGCCAATGATAATCAAAAAGCGTGGGGCAAACAATGGGGCGGAGCGATAGAATGGGGTCACATGCTACGTTCTCCCCCCCCCCCCCACACACACACACACACACACACACCCAGAAAAAAAAATATACCAGAGGCCCTTTTCTAACAACTCTTTTAAAAATAAAACTACCAGTACTTAGGCTGACCTTAAAAATATCTTTGTTTCACCAAACCCGACCCACAATCGAGGAGAAGGGTCGGTAGGTCGGTTTTTTTTTCAGATTTTTTTTTAAAGTCAGAGAAATCAATACAGAAAACTTATTAGCTGTATACTACAGATTCATTAATTTTGTTTAATGAATTTGGGGTCTGACGTAAAAAGTAACGAACTGAAAGTTTTTATTAAACTTAAGAGCTAATTTGACAGCTTAATAATTTTCCGGGTGGAAACATTCGTCTTCTTTATTGGCAAACAAATCAATGACATCGGGATTTTTCGTGATGCCCGACTCGCACACGATTAGCCACAAACTTGAAGTGTGAAACTCCTTCAACACGTTTTTAACGATAGTGCGCGTTGTGCTTTCATTTTTCTCGAAAACGGATATTGAAAATATCGTCGTCATGTTTAAAACTACGCACCACAGACATAGAGGCAGAATTATTTCGTGGGAATGGACGTGTATTCGTCTGCAACCATTTTGTTGAGAAGCGACACCTATGACGCTTTCGTCTTGATCAACCAGTTTCAATAATGAATCAAACCATAGCCATAGTATAGGGAAATAACTCTCATGATATATTTCAGGTTGACACACAAAATAAAATAAAAAGATCGTGGAAAAGTGCAATAAAATAATTTAAGTCGGGGGTGGTTTTAGTTAGTCGGTCGCGTTAGGCGAAACAAAGATATTTTTAAGGTCAGCCTTATCTAGGCATAAATATTGAAATGAAATGAAATAGGTTTTAATGTCCTTATTTTCTGCACAGATGGGACTAATGAAAACAGACATACTATGTACTATGAGGGAAATTTGGTCCGGACAGTGGCACTATACGTGCACAATTAAATGTGTATACAATACAAAACCTACTTTTTACAGTATTACTTTCAATCTGAACAACTAGACATTATTGAATTGATCCAACTCATCTATAAGATTTACTTGAGATCTGCCCGCTGGAGCCCTGAAGATCGTGTAATTGTACAGATCAATTAATCTTTTTCTTCTGGTGTTCATGATTTTATAGGTTTTTAAAAGGAAAGGAAAGACATCTTTTCGTTCAGATGGAGGATAAGAATCCTATGTCCTTACATATGTTGAAGTGTAAAAGTACCCATGACAGTTGGAATACACCGATGATCAGGCGTTATTTGTACTATTAGGGCAAATTCCCTTGTCGTAAAGTAGGACTTTTCATTTCATTCTTCAGTTCACGGTCGCTCTATCCTGAATAGAGTCAAGTGGCATGGTTTCTATTCCCCGCTAGTACATGAAAAATGAGTAGGCCGTCTGTCCAACCTCATGTTTTTTCTCCGGGTCATCTGGTTTTTTTCCCACTGCTAAAGACCCAAACACGCAAGCAAATTATTTTAACAAAGTTGAACCATATGTTAGCTCCGAAATGACCTAGTTTGTGTCAAGTGGACGTTAAACCCCATTTCTCTGAATGAAGGAGACTTTTTAACGGCCACATTGAAATGTGGTTGTATATTGTCGTCGCCCCCGTATATTGTGGACGCTCTAGAGGCTAAAGTTAATATCCGATTGACTTTAAATTTATACAGTGTTTAAGGGAAGAAGCCTATTGATTTTCAGGGATTTCCGATAATTACTGCAAGAAGTATGGCTCTTGATCACTTCAAAAATCTTGTGGACGCCCTAGAGGTCAAAGTTAATATCCGATTGACTTTAAATTTATACACAGTGTTTAAGGTCATGAGACAAAGAAATCTATTGATTTTCAGCGATTTTCAATAATTACTGCCAGAGTTATGGCCCTTGATCACTTCAAAAAATCTTGTGGATGCTCTAGAGGCCAAAGTGAATATCCAATTGACTTTAAATTTATATACAGTGTTTAAGGTCATGAGACGAAGAAGCCTATTGCTTTTCAGCGATTTCCGATAAATACTGCCAGAGGCAGAGTTATGGCCCTTGATCACTTTGAAAAATCTTGTGGACGCTCTAGAGGCTAAAGATAATATACGATTGACTTTAAATTTATACACAATGTTTAAGGTCATTAGACGAAGAAGTCTATTGATTTTCAGCGATTTCAGATAATTACTGCCAGAGTTATGGCCCTTGATCACTTAAAAAAATCTTGTAAATGCCCTAAAGGCTAAAGTTAATATCCGATTGACTTTAAATTTATACACAGTGTTTGTGGTCATGAGACGAAGAATCATATTGAGTTATGGCCCTTGATCATCCGATTGACTTCAGATTGATACACAGAGTTTAAGGTCTTGAGACAAACAGCTAAATTCATGATATTAAAAGTTTTGTATACTAAAGGTTAGCATGGGGCAGAAGTTCTGCCGCAGAACATTATGTTCCATTGCCTGGCAACCTATCTTTAATTTTATTGTTAAGTCCTTTATGGTTTTTTTTTTTATGTTTTAGGAGAATCATCCAAATCCAGGCACCAGGTATTTACCTACAAGTCGTACAGCCTATTTACCGGCTACAACCGAGGGTAAAAATGTCTGTAAGATGTTAATAGTAGCATTTAAAAGAAAACTGATTTTTACGGTGGGAAGATCTACAACAACCGGACAAGAAAATCGTATTACGTGGAATGATATACACCATAAAACATCCATGTCAGGCGGTCCGACGCAGTAAGTATTGTTGTATTGTGCAAATCATAAAACATCCATGAAAGGCAGTCCAACACAGGGGCTTAATCTAGCATTATGGTAGAGTGCAGATCCAGAGTCAATATTTATATAATCACATAGTGGTACAGACAGATAGATCTAATTGTTAAGGCCAACTCGATTTTCGTCAAAGTCGCTAAGATGTAAATAAGGTTAGGGCACATGATTGTTGGCGGGATTGTAGGTTAGGGTTAGGCTAAGGTTATCACTAGGGTTAGGGTTAGGATTAGCGCTAGTCCTGTTTACATTTTGTGACATTTGACAAAACTTGAACTTGGCCTCAAAAAAATCTAAGTGAAATGAAATGAAATGGGGTTTAACATCCTAATGTTTTGCTCCGAACTGGGCTAATGAAGACGGGCACGGCAATATGTACACGGGACCTCGGTTTTTCGTCCCATCCGAAGGACTAGACAGCTTTCCTTGTCAGCCCCTCCGTCTTGCATTACTGACAAGGGAGAACCACGCCGGAAAATCTGGATGAACTTTCTCGGCCAATGCAGGGATCGAACACCTAGCAAGCCAGCGTCTTACCCACTTAGCCACGTGATCCCCTAAAAAAAAAAATCTTAACGGGTACCGACTATTTATTACTTGTCGGTAGCAACAGGGTTAGTAAAGACACACATATAATACGCTATGAGGGAATATTTGTGACTGTCGTTTGTCTGTCTGTCTGTCTGTTTGTCTGTCTGTTCGGGGTTGGGGGCTACACTAGGTCTGCCCCGTGTCTGAAATTTGGGGTATAGGGGTAGCTCGGACCGGGGAGTAACATAGGCCAGGTGGCCTTAGTCTACCACTTCCGGTTTCAGGGTTATGACCCCCGAGCGAAGCCGGGCATTCTTCTAGTATTTATATAATCATACAAGTGGTACAGACTATTTACAGCTTCTCTGTACTCTGTAGCAACTGGGTTAGTAAAGACACACATATGCTATAAGGGAAATATTATTGAACTGATAAAGGTACTTTAACCTACATTTTAACCATAGATTGAGATGTAAGTTGAATGGCTGGCAATGGAGGTTTTTGACTATAGACAAATTTACAGCTTTTCTGTAAACCTGTCAATAAAGCACACGTCAGTGTCACATAAAATATTATGCTCAAATTCAAGCTTTTTATTTCATATCTATAGCTTTAGTTTATCCAGTGTTCGGTATTTCATGTGTGTAGCTTTGGTTTATCCAGTGATCTGTATTTCATATGTGTAGCTTTGATTTGTCCAGCGTTTTTTATTTCATATATGTAGCTTTGGTTTATTCAATGTTCTGGTTTTCATATTTGTAGCTTTGGTTTTCCAGACCCCACATATTTGAATCGTGTAAAGGAAGAATTAGCCAGTAAAGGAATAACAGAAGATGACATCCGAGATGTTAGACTACGTGATAGTGAAGTCATCTATGCTTAATGTATATAAATATGACTTAACAATTGACAATAATGACCATATTGTATAAGGCCATTGTCTAGCTAATCAGACTTGATGACGGCAGCAAAGACAACTTGAAAATAAAATATTAAAGATATATTATGTAAGATTGAGATAAAGGGCTGATTGTTTTTATACGCCCACATTGAAATGTGGTCGTATATTGTTGTCACCCCCGGCCTTGTGGACGCTCTATAGGCTAAAGTTAATATCCTATTGACTTTAAAGGTCACCGGAAATGGTTTATAAATTTTTTAAATAATGCAAGTAATTATGTCAACATATCATTTCCATAAGTATAACACGAACCCGAATGTCAATATTACCTGCAACAGGTAAATTTCAACGTTAGCAATTTCCGCCATTCTCCGTGGGTAGTCGTAACTTTCCGTAAATGTGACGTCATTTTAGTCCCTCTGCTCATATTCTAGTCTATATTTCTATGTGCAGAAGGACTAAAATGACGTCACGGATTGCTTATTGACGGAAAGTTCCGACTACCGACGGAGAACTGGCGGAAATTACTAATGTTGAAATTTACCTGTTGCAGGTAATATTGACGTTCGGGCTAGGGTTATACTTATGGAAAGGATATGTTGACATAATTACTTTCACTTTCCTAACGTTAGCATGGGGCAGAACTTTATAAAAACCAAATTCTAATGGTTTTCTGATAATTACTTGTTACTCTTAATCAGATTTTAATGTATTATAAATGTTTCATTACCGAAAAAAGTAAAAATATGCGACAACTCTTGTTGACTGCCCGTACGATATAGCTGCTGTGGGCGTATGTTTCGTTGCCTGGCAACCTATCTTTTCTATAATAGTTAACAAATAGATAATGAAAAATGAATATATTGAAAATTTGATTCAAATTACTTTATTCTGAGTGAAGTTATTACTGTTTGAAGATGTATCGTAGATCATTAATTATCATAGTAATGTTACTAGATAAAGGTGATTAAGTCTGGATTATCCATTTTGTCCATCCGATGGTCTGGAGAGTTAATTATGGGGCTTGTAATGTTAATAAATGTCTAAATAAAACATTGGAAGCCAAAATAACGACTGACCGCTTTAACCCTTAAAAGCCTGACTAGAAATAATTGAATGAAAAATCTTCCACTGAGTCAATAACTACCTATCTAATGATCCAAGAATTCGGAATGGCAGTTTCATTGCTCCATATCCAGGTTTGTGATTTATTGAAGAGATACTAGATAAAGTTCTATTTCCGCAGGACAGAGACACTCGTTTGAACACTCCAGAATTAAATTCTGGTGAACAAGACGATGTGGTACCACAATTATATTTCAAGTGAATAAGAAAAGGCTGTCTATAATTATATACATATAATTGTTTGAGACCTTTTAGTGTCTTGTAAACACTCCTGTTATTTTTCCGTCTATTGATTTACCCAAAACACACTGTATTTCAAATAAAACAACATATTTTTATTGTTTTTTTCTTTCTTTTTATATACATAGATGTTTAATATATTATATCAAAACTTTACCCTTTTTTTTAACAGAATGACAACTCTTATTGTTATGCTAATTAATTATATTGAGTGAGTGTTGCGTTGTATTTATATAATATTAAATAAACCGTTAAATACTAGATGTGTATGATGTTTTCTTTCTCTATATCAATAGGTGATTAATTTTCCCTAAATTTTACCCTTTTTTAATAGTTCTGAAAAGAAAACGGAAATAAATGAATCCACTATGATGGACTCAGACTAGTAATTATTTCCCCTTATTTCATGATGGACGAATGTAGTGTGAGTTATAAATAGACAATTTTTTCCTTAATTTTTTTCTCCCCTCTTCCTGCATTTTTGGGTTGACTTTTTGGTCTAGAATTGGAGAAAGGGATCAAATTTGCAATTTCATAGCAGTTTTGGGTAATACTGATGATATTACAGTTGAGGGATAGGGGATGTAAAGTGTCTTTCTGCAGAGCAATCATTGTGTCGGAAGTGAGATTTTCACCCAAGTCAACATCAAATCCCTGGAGCAAAAAATCTAAACGGTCAACCCCCTACAAAATTATGATGAGGATATTGCCAAGTGTGGCCCCCATTGTTCCTATAAAGATTGGAACCAACGGAATGTTGAGAAAAAAGCTACAGCCTGTGATGTTACAGCCATTTAACAATGGGCAATGGGCAAATAATCACTAGTCTGAATCCTGATGAGAATAAGAGTTGCCTTTCTTGCTTTGATCTTCCATTTGTTTCCGTTTTTATACGCCTACATTGAAACGTGGTCGTATATTGTCGTCGCCCCCGTCCGTCGGTCCGGCGTCCACAATTGCTTGTGGACGCTCTAGAGGCTGAAGTTAATATCCGATTGACTTTAAATTTATACACAGTGTTTGAGGCCATGAGACGAAGAATCCTATTGATTTTCAACGACTTTCGATAATTACTGCCAGAGTTATGGCCCTTGATCACTTAAAAAATCTTGTGGACGCCCTAGAGGCCAAAGTTAATATCCGATTGACTTTAAATTTATACACAGAGTTTAAGATCTTGAGACGAACAAGTATATTGATTTTCATTGAATTTTTATGACTTGAACAGCTAAATCCATGATATTAAAAGTTTCGTATACTAAACGTTAGCATGGGGCAGAACTTTATAAAAACCAAACAAATTCTAATGGTTTTCTGATAATTACTAAATGAGTTGTTAGTGTATTATAAATGTTTCATTACTGAATAAAGTAAAAATTTGCGACAACTCTTGTTGATTGCCCGGACGATTTTGCTGCTGTGGGCGTATGTTTCGTTGCCTGGCAACTTATCTTTTTTCAAACTGTTAAAAAAGAGAAGTTTAAGGAATATTAATCATGCATATAGAAAGAAATACAGGTGACATAAGACATCCCACCGTGATTGATTCTGTCATATCTCTAGCACGGTCACTTATAGTTTTGTCCCGATCCGTTACCATTTCTCTGGGAATATTATTTGATGATGGTTTCTAAAAGAAGGGGCCCTAGAGAAGATATGTTTGACCGCCATCTTGAATTTTCTGCTCTCCTGAAGTTAGGCTGTAGTTTTCAGAGGTAACAAACTACAAATATCTTCACTAGGTTCCCTTCTATCACCAAGATAGGGCTTACTACTACTCCCTTCTATCCGAAACCATCGCAAAACCATACTCCTAGCAATGTTTCGTTTGATTAGACCTAATCCCACTCAACACTGCCGTAATGAAAGTAAATTTCTGTTCCAAATTATGACTGGTCAATAGTCCGATTTTACCCAATACCTGACTGCGTAACAATATCATTCGGGTTTAAACATAGCTCCAAATTTGTTTACATAACGTTACGTCACCATCACGAAATTAATTACGCCCAATTAACCAGTGCATAGCAGAATATTGCAGAAAAACGTATTGCGTGACAAACGAGGCTATGAAAACGGCTACACTGTAAACAATACTGTTTGGAGACGAACAATACTTTCACCGTTTTTAATACCTTAAATCACTGTCCAACGCTTTAGGGAAGACCCCAGCTTAAATTAAGGACAGCCATGTTGCTGTACATTGGAGAGATTTGATTGGACGGGTAGAATAGACAAACTCAAAAGCTCAAGTATCAGAAGTCAATCCAGCAATGGCCAGAGCGGGATTTCTCGGGCCATTGCTTCAGGAGTATGCGCCAAACCTTGTTCCCAGAGAAAAGTTCACGGATCTGGGGGTTGTGCCCTTACTAATAGTTAATCTACAGAAAATACAGCATCCAGTATCATGAACAAAATATCAACTCACATAAGCCTGTATTAAAATTTACATTAACTCCCAAATAACTTTAAAGTAACGGTGCTTGATCTCCAGAAAATAACAAATTTGTCACAGTCCACACTAATATGTATTCAGATTGATTACTGTATTTAAAATTTAATAAAGAAAACAAAATCGAAATATCAAGGGTTAGACAATTATAATATGCCGTTAAAGACTTGCTAACTGGCGATAAGCCAACCATAGATTGCAGAATGGCCGAAAGTTCAACATACCAGTGTCTGTAAAAATTTTATTCCAAGCTATTTATTGGAAGTGGTGCGGGACAGGTAAGAAACGTGTTCAGATGGGTGGTAAAAACGTTGTTGTGCGCGTAACAGAACCCATAGCAACGGGTGCAAAGTTTAGAGGAAACTTGAAATATGTGTTTATAACCCAACGATCTTGGTTCCTGTCGACAATCGCGCATATCTATACCGGACCTTAACTTTCTGGATTATAACCCCTGAATCACGTTTTTAGCGTCTGGTCGCTCTAGAGGTCACAATTTGTATCCGATTTCAAAAACCGTTCGACTATCCCACCGTTACACCATAATGATGCTTGAGTTCAAATTTCGTAAAAATCGCATTGAAACTGCCGGACAAAAAGGCCGTTCTCTGTACGAAAATAGTGTAAAAGTATCAAGGTTGTGGACCCTCGAAAGATCACAATTTTTTATCAGATTTTGATCAAACTTAAAACGTGTTTATAAATCTCAACGATCTCGTGGTCAAGTTCGGATTTCGTGAAAGTCGGACCGAAACTGCCTGACAAAATGGCCGAAAATAATGTAAAAGTATGTAATACCAAGTTTCCGGACCCGCTAGCTCACAATTTTTGTCTAATTTTAATGAAACTTCAAATATATGTTTGTATCTTAAGGATCCAAGTTCCTGTCGATATTCGCACATTTTCAGACCATAACTTCCTGGATAGTAGTCCCGGGTATTGTGGCTAAATCTATTTGTTAAGGCCCACTCAACTGAAAATTCAGTTCGTGATATTTTCTAGTTTTATAAAACTACATTAGATTTATATACAAAATTGTCTTCGCTGTGGACGTATTATGCCGTCGCCCCTGTCCGTCCGTCCGTAACGGACAAAATGTTTCATGTGGACAGTACATACAGGTCACAATCTGAATTTGACGAAACTTGAAAGATAGGTCTATCTCCCAAAGTTCTCGGTTCCTTCGTTATTGGTATGTATCGCACCATAATTTCATGGATTATGGCTCCTCATTGTACGAAAAATCACGTTTGTGGACACTCTAGAGGTCACAATTTTGATCCGATTTTTATGAAACTTAAAATGCATGTTTATAACCAAAAGGTCTTGGTTCCGTTCGATATCGGCTCGTAGCTCACTGAATTATGGCCCCTGATTGTACGAAAATCGCGTTTTTAGCATCTGGTCCCTCTAGAGGCCACAGTTATTATCCTATTTAAAAAATCACCGTTACATCGTAATGTTTGGTTGAGTTCAAATTTCGTGAAAATCGGACCAAACTGGCCGCCCTTCTTACGCAAATATTGTAAAAAAAAACCCATGGTATTTCAAGGTTGTGGGCCCTCTAGTCGTCACAATTTTGATCGATTTTGATGAAACTTGAATATATGTTTATAATCCTAAGATCTCGGTTACTTTCTATACTCGCACATATTGGATCGTAACAGCCCGAATTCTGACCCTTGATTGTACGTTTTTAGCTTGTGGTCCCTCTAGAGGTCACAATTATCCGATTTTGATGAAATTTTAAATCGATGTTCATGACACAAAGACCCTGGTTCCTTTCGATAATCGCGCATATTCGAACGTAACGTCCTGAATTATGGACCCGGATTGTTCGACAAATCGCATTTTTTAGCTGGTTGGCCCGCTAGAAGTCACAATTTTGATCCGATTTTTATGAAACTTGAAATGCATGTTTATAACCCAAAGGTCTTGGTTCCGTTCGATATCGGCTCGTAGCTCACTGAATTATGGCCCCTGATTGTACGAAAATCGCGTTTTTAGCATCTGGTCCCTCTAGAGGTCACAGTTATTATCCTATTTAAAAAAATCACCGTTACATCGTAATGTTTGGTTGAGTTCAAATTTCGTGAAAATCGGACCAAACTGGCCACCCTTCTTACGCAAATATTGTAAAAAAAAAACCCCATGGTATTTCAAGGTTGTGGGACCTCTAGTCGTCACAATTTTGATCGATTTTGATGAAACTTGAATATATGTTTATAATCCTAAGATCTCGGTTACTTTCTATACTCGCACATATTGGATCGTAACAGCCCGAATTCTGGCCCTTGATTGTACGTTTTTAGCTTGTGGTCCCTCTAGAGGTCACAATTATCCGAATTTGATGAAATTTTAAATCGATGTTAATGACACAAAGACCTTGGTTCCTTTCGATAATCGCGCATATTCGAACGTAACGTCCTGAATTATGGACCCGGATTGTTCGACAAATCACATTTTTTAGCTGGTTGGCCCGCTAGAAGTCACAATTTGTACGCAAATATATGGTATATCAAGGTTCTGGTCCCTCTAGAGGTCACAATGGTGATCCGATTTTGATGAAACTTAAAATTGATGTTTATATCACAAAGACCGTGGTTCCTTTCGATAATCGCGCATATCCGAACGTAACGTCCTGAATTATGGTCCCTGATTGTTCGAAAAATCGCATTTTAGTTTGTGGACCCGCTAGATGTCACAGTATTCTCTGAAGGTGGTTGGCGGTTTGATTGACGCTGGTTTGGTTGTTGGTTTGGTTGGCGGTGGTAGCGGAATCCTGGTGGTGGTTGGTAAAAGCCTGGTGGTGGTTGGTGAAAGCCTGGAAAGCTTGGTGGTGGTTGGTGAAAGCCTGGTGATGGTTGGAATCTTTTCCGTAGCTGTGACCATATCCATGTTCCAAAATTGGTGGTGTGGGTGGGGGGACTATTAGAGTGGACGTTGTGCGAATGGGACAAGATACAGTAAAGATCGAAACATAATGGGACAAAGGGGGCGGGCGGGGGAGGGAGAAAATAATAAGATTGATTTCAAATTTATTTAATAGCTTTAACATTAATTTGCCCCACATACCTTGAATACATAACTTCGTCTCCTTTAAACTCATTTGCTTTACGTCTTACATTCTTGGTTTCATACAACACGCATCACAGTGAACAAGTTTGGGCACAAACACATTGACCAAACTATATAGACTGTTGTGCAATATTTGGCCAATGTGTTTGTGCCCAAACTTGTTCACTGTGATGCGTGTTGTATGAAACAGAGAATGTAAGACGAAAAGCAAATGAGTTTAAAGGAGACGAAGTTATGTATTCAAGGTATGTGGGGCAAATTAATGGAAAAGCTATTAAATAAATTTGAAATGAATCTTGTGCTCAGGCGTGTACTGGTTTCACAATACTGGTAAAGTGGCAGAATGCAACTAAAAATATGACAAGTATGAAACAAAGATAAATCGTTTATTGATTACATGGTATAGTAGTATATCGTTTAATACCAATCGTCCAACTTAAAACTCTTAACAGATATAAAAATAACGTTACATAAAAATATACAAAAAGAAAAGAACTTATATGATATAGACGGATCGTTCCTCGATTATATCGCGATGTACATTTCGGTGTGGTATCCTTTGTCAAATGTTGATAGCCGACCTTATCATTTAGCACTAACCTCTGATAGCACGAAAAATCACATTTTTAGCTTGTTGATCCTCACAATTTTTATCCGATTTAAAAAAAACCCAAAACAACTACTTAAATATATACTATTCAAAAAAAGTAGGGGATATTTGATTTTGGGGGCATAATACTAAAATATGCAAATGACTACGAAAGAATTCACTATAGAACCTAACAGAAGAAACATTTCCAGTTACATGTGACGCCCAAACGCACCAATAGCTACCGCATGGAATGCAGGTGATGCTTGGGATCATCATGGGGGTCCAACCCAAGATTTGCACGACTCTGACTTTGAATGTTACAGTCATTGTGGCATTGAATTCCAGGGTGGAAACATCAGTTTAATTGTTTTAGTGACCAGAAAACAAATTTTAATATGTGTCGGCTTACCCAAAATGAAAGGTTACGTGCCCTTGGCATGCTACCGATCGGCACAACACAGGCGGTTGTGCCGCGGACGATGAATGTTTCTCAGTCTGTCATAAGCAGGCTATGGTCCAGATACCGTGATACACAATCTGTACAGTACACCTCAAGCCCAGGATCGATTTATCCGTACCTTGGCCTTGAGAAATCGTGTCATCACAGCAAATCAGATCAGCGCTCGTCTTCAAACAGACACTGGTGTGAGAGTGAGTGGCCAGACGATTCGGAATCGACTGCATAGGGGTCACCTTCGCGCCCGACGTCCTCGCGTGATCCCTTGTTTGAGAGATCATCACATTCAGGCAAGACGTCGTTGGTGTAGGGATCGTCAACACTGGGATAATCGACGCTGGAGCAATGTGATGTTTTCAGATGAGTCAAGGTTCTCTGTTGATTTTTTGCACAGACGTAGGAGGGTGTGGCGTCGTCGAAACGAGCGCTTCCAAGACGTTAACGTCATCAGACATGATCGATTTGGGGGTGGTTCTGTTATGGTGTGGGGAGGCATCACTGTTGCTGGAAGAACGGCTTTACATGTTGTTGCAGGGCGTGTTACAGGCCAGTACTACCGGGACAACATCTTGGCAGTCCATGTTGTGCCGTTCGCACGACGTCATGGCCGCCGTTTCATCTTCCAGGATGACAACGCAAGATGTCCCAGGGCCAGGATCGTTACAGGTTACCTCCAACAACAGAACATCACCACATTACCTTGGCCAGCACTGAGTCCCGACCTCTCCCCCATCGAGCATGTCTGGGTCATGCTTGGACAGAGGTTACGTCAACGTCAACAACGTTCTGCCAATGTCCAAGAACTTGCTGCTGCGTTGCAACAGGAATGGGACAATCTGGACCAAAATGACCTTAGACGTCTCATTAGGAGTATGCCACGTCGGATCAATGCTTGTTTGGCAAACAGAGGAGGATTTACCCGTTACTGACTTGGTTGTGATGCTGTGGTAACTTTGCTGTTTGACCCCGGGTATCATTTTACCCTTATAATGGTCAGTCTGTGCCTTACTTAGTCTAACGATCATTTGGAATAAATCGATGAATGTGAACTTCATTTCATTTTGTCATTTGTTTCTTCGTCAGTTTCATTAGGTGACTTTAATAACACTTAAAAATCAAATATCCCCTACTTTTTTTGAATAGTATATAACCGTTGCACCATAATGAACGTAGAGTTCGAATTTCTGGAAAAAAACAAAACGAACTGCCCGACAAAATCAGTGCCGGATTAACCTTGTTGGGGGCCCGGGACATACCAACTGTGCAGGGGGCCATTGTTGTTTGTTCAAATTGTTCGCACTGACCGCGGATCGTACTAGTATGTACTCCGTCCCCTTGAGTGCCTGGGGCCCCCAATATCCCTTACTGCCCAGGGCCCCAATCCTCGCCCCCTCAGCCCAGGTACTGGTTGGCTCCGTCCGGGATAAAATAATAGTATGACCCAGAATTGTGGGGGCCCCTAAATGTGTGTGTGGGGGGACATTTGTCCCACTTGGCCCCCCCCCCCCGATCCGGTACTGGACAAAATGCCCACTTTGATGAAATTTAATATTTATCTTTATATCCTAAAGATCTCATTCCCTTTCGATATTTACGCATTTCAGACCTTAACCAGGAAACAAGGGCCAAAGTTATTTTTATTATTTCTCTCCCTTTCCCTCCCCCCCCCCCTTTGCATGGCGATTTTTGTTGACGTTTTGGTGTATAATGGAAGAAAAGGGTTTGAAAATACATTTTCGGCCAGGTTTTGGTGATTATTCATGATTTTGAGGCGGAAGGATACAAGGGTTGAGAGCTTGGTTAGGTTGAATGTAGGGCGGAAAATTGCATGTTTAGTTGTCTCTACTTCCAGCTTGTATCTCTAGTTTTTCATGGCGAACCTCATACATACTTTTGGGCAAGAGTTTGCCACATGTTGCTCCGTCTGTGGCAGAAAACGTTCTACCCATCGAAACTTTGTGAAAAAGTTAGAACCGGTCTAAGGGACGAGAATTAATATTAAAGGACCTAAGTCCGTAACTCAAAATCCTCCAAAATCTTCGACATCGAAAACACGAATTATTGGTCAATTTAAATCAACATTGATGATGTAAACTTACCGGGAAAAGATGAGCTTCTGATAACCGATATTTAAGATAAAATAATTTTTTTGAGGGACGAGGCTAGACACATTGCACCAAATCAAATGGAGTTATGTAGACTAGAATAACTAGACGCTAGAAATTGGCACTCGATTGAGATTGCTGACTTATTTCGCCGAATATAACTGATTTGAAATTGGAGTAAAAACGGAAACCATTAAATGTAAATCAGTTTATATACATTCATATTACAGTATTATATGCGTTGCGACCCACTTTTGTCAATTTCTAGGTCCCAAATGTTAGCGATTTAGCTCCTTTAAAGTCAATGGGGAAATCTTTAGTGATCTGTGGCCAATTGGCAACGGAATACGCCCATTATAGGTTTGATTGAACCAGGTCCTCACATAACCTATAGCAGATGTAAAGCAATGGTAAAATACTGGGTAGTCGAGTCTATGCTATAAATAGAGCATGTTGTACTTCTGACGATCGTCACAACCAGGTAATATTTACTAAGCTTCTAAATTAAATATTATGCCATGTAGTCAGTTGAAATATATTGTTGCTAAGTTGAGACGAAGTGATGGCATTGTAAATAAGACTCATATTAGTCTAAAACCTTTCCATTCTGTATTTATTCATGATCACGATTTATATTTTGAATGGAGTGTCATTTTACAGGTTGTTAAGTCGACTTTCGGTTTCGATTTCTTGTCATCGTGAAATACTTCCTCGTATCTTGTTGATAAAAATATGCGTCTATCAGAAGCTGTGAATAGATGGGACGGTTCTATTAAGTCTAGGGTGCCATCCACAATCCCAACCCACAATGATTGTCAACAAAATACTGGCTATAGTATAACACTGTCTGAGTGCCCTTGCAGAACATAGATCGTATTGCCTATATTTTGTTCGCCGATCGTTATCTCGCCGAAAAGCACTTTTTTTTTTTATTCAAGTTGACTTAAAGTAGCTAAGTTTCTAACTCAATATCATCCAAAATCTTCAACATTGAAAACACAAATTATTTATCAATTTAAATCAACATTGATGTTGTGATCTTACCGGGAAGAGATGGGCTTCTGATATACAATATTTAAGACAAAATAAACATTCTACCATTGGTACACGAATCGTGTACCATAATGCGTTTCAGAGTCTAGGCATATTCCATAAGTCAAATCAAACAGTGACATGATATTATTATCTGGAGAGCATGTGCAATAAATACTATCGGTGTAGACTGGAATAACCAGGCGCTAGAGATTGCCATTCAATTGAGACTTCTGGCGTATTTCGCCGAACATAAATGATTATAAATTACAGTGAAAACAGAAACGATTGAATGTAAATCAGTTTATATACATTCATATTACATTATTATATTTATGTTAATTTCTAGTTCCCAAATATTACCGATTTAGCCCCTTTAAAGTTCATGTCATAATAATATGATTGTTATTGCAGCTACATATAAAATTTATGTAAGTGAGGTTTTTGCGGCGCAAAAATACGTCAGATAATATTTAATTTGGGACTGGCTCTGAGGGGACTTTGTCTCACGGGGGTTACTTGGTCTCATGGCCCCACCCCCTCTAAATCCACGCCTGGTCACTGGGTTTAAAGTGAGAATTTCATATTTTCTAAGAAAATCAAAACATAATTATTTCTATGTCTCTTGCTCAATAGGTTGTCAATTCACTATTATACGATCATAGGTATCATTCTCACACTTAAAAAAAATTCACCCCGGAAATAATAACACAATTACCTCCCTTGTTTTTCTATTCCCCCAATGGAATATATATCTTCAAACGTTTGAATTTGAAGTTGAAAATGATATTTTTGCCAATTTCTCAACTGGCAATAGTGAATTATAGAATTAATAGGATTATTTTTAACAAGGTAGGACTGTTTATAGATACCATCTAATTTGAAGTTGAAAATGATATTTTTGCCAATTTCTCAACTGGCAATAGTGAATTATAGAATTAATAGGATTATTCTTTAACAAGGTAGGACTGTTTATAGATACCATCTATTTTAAAGGAGCCACATCGCTAATATTTGGGACCTACAAATTGGCACAAATGGGTCGCAACGTATATAATATGAATGTAAATAAACTGATTTACATTCAGTCGTTTCCGTTTTTACTCTAATTTCAAAGCAGTTCTGTTTGGCGAAATACGTCAGAAGTCTCATTCGAATGGCAATCTCTGGCGTCTGGTTATTCCAGTCTACACCGATAGTATTCATTGCGCTTGCTCTCCAGATAAGAATATGAAGTCACCGACATGACTTGTGGAATATGTCTAACCTCGTTCTTCGAGTCGCTTGTTACAAATTGTGCTGAAACGCATTATGGTACACGATTCGTGTACCAATCGTAAAATGTTTATTTTGTCTTAAATATTGGATATTAGATGCCCATCTTTCCCGGTAAGATCACAACACGAATGTTGATTAAAATTGACAACTAATTCGTGTTTTCAATGTCGAAGGTTTTGGGTGATATTGAGTTAGAGACTTAGCTACTTTAAGGCTTTATTTTAATACATTTTAAAAGTATAACTTAAAGATATGAAATTATCACTTTAACACAACTACAATTGCGTTTACTACTTTTATTTGTGTGGTTCAACTTGAGCTATAGTTTCAGAATATTTTCCATATTATTTATAACAGCGATTTTTATTTTGAACGAACTTCAATGAAGCCAATTTTGAGTTGATAACTCTACTTTCGGTTTCTCTTTTCTAGTCATCGTGAAATGCTTCCCCGTTTATATATCTCTGTGGTGTGTTTTTCGTTTTGTGCTTCAGCTATTATAATATTTATTGGTTCCTCGCCTTTCGAAGTTATCTGGGGACTGTTTTATTGTAATGGTTCGTCCATTTTTCTGGCCATCCACCAAACACCGTTTTTCAAACACAAATTCTGTTTCTAATTGAGGTAGAATATTCAAACTTGGGGTACTTGTTATTCGGGAAATGGCATGTCTAAGTTAGATGATGAGTTAGATAAACCATGGACCTTCATGGATAAACTACATATTTGATCGACTGTGTCGTTACAACACAATAACACTGCTTTTAAGTTCTATTGCATTGACAGCCTAACTGTTGATAACAGGGTGGCAGCCTAATACGACAAAATATCTGTTGGCCTAGACATGAACAAACAAATGTCTAATCTCCACGACAATGGATCATTTGCAATAATTTTTTCTCAAACTCTAATTTTAATTTTCAGATGTGAATAATTGACATTATGGCGTCTAGCAGTCATAGCATGCGATATAAATTAAAAAATGGTGTAGTTGCTTTTGTTGAATATGGCGATATTTTCTCAGTCCCAGCTAATGTCTTAGTTTATAGTTCTGGACAATCAAAAAAGAAAAAAAGTGGCATTGCCCAACAGATGTTAAGAAACGGAGGTGAGGGTTACAGGAAAGCACTAGACATTCTATACAAAACACACACCATCCTTGAAGAAGGAAAAGTATATGAATTGCCTCGTGGTGATTTATACAACTTTGATAGTATCTACTTAGCAGTAACAACCGCGTACACTGAATATTGGTTTTGTAAGTCATGGTCTAAAAGACTTCAGGAGTTGTATTCTAATATACTGAGCAAAGCAGATGGGAATCGAAAAAAATCAATCACCTTACCAGTTTTGGGATCAGGTAAGACATAAAATTGAACATTGCATCCATATTGAAATGTGTATATTACAACAGTCTGTCAGTCCACATTGACTATATAGACCACCCAACGTTTTTGTCCGTCTTTCGAAGAAAGCAGGGGACTATTAAAATGGATCTGTCCGTCTGTCTGTCTGTCCGTCACACTTTTTGGGACACAATGACATTCCCTCTAATTGAGTAAGAATGTTCAAACTTGGTGTGGGTGTTTATTAGGTTAATGTCTTGATGGGGAACGAAGATGAGCATTTTCTGCTTAGGATAAGCAGTGATAAGCAATTTGATTGGTTGATGCTTTGAGACACTATGACTTTAGTTCTAAGTAAGTGAGAGTAATGAAACTTGGTGTAAGGCTTGATAATGAGCTTTTTCTAAGGCTTGATAATGAGCTTTTTCTGCTCGGGATAAGCAGAGTGATAAGCAATTTGATTGGTTGAGACTTTGGGACACAAAAACCTTGATTCTGATTCGGTGAGAGTGATGAAACTCAGAGTATAGATTCATTATATCAATACCATGACTAAGTTCCATGATGATAATTTTCTGCTTGATTGATAAACAATTTTATTGGCGACGAGTTTGGAACATAACAACTTTGAATGTTTAAACTTGGTGTAGATTTTTATTAGATAAATGTCATTGTTCGATACTTTAGTACAAGATATCTTTGATTATAACTTATCGATTTCGACGGGGAACATCAGTGTCATTGTTGGCTTGTATATATTAGTGAACCTAAGAATCCTTTTTAATTTCAGTCATCTATTTACTGTAGGATATCGGCAGGGAAGCCCAGCCTCACTGTTGGCCTGTTTACATTAGTGAGCCGAAGAATTCTATTTAATTTCAGTGACTTTGGAGAATAACTTAACTTCCCAAGTCAAGTCAAGTATTAGTAATAGCCCTTCATCTCACAGTGACAGGTGTGATCATAGAGTTTGGACATGGCCAACTTAGGTGTGTTCATTAGGCCTGCTCTTAGGATGGGCCAGGGCATCTTTACGTGTGTAAATAGGAGTAAGTGTTGGTTAGGTGAATCCCTCGATGGAGTTCGAAGATGGGCTCTCTCTGCTAAGGCTAAACTGAGATAAGCAATGTGATTGTTAGTTGATTTGGTACATGATAAATTTGATTCTAATTAAATGAGATTAAGGAAACGTGGTGTATATATATAGTTTCATTATACCAATGTGTGGTTTAATTATACCAATACCTTGACTAAGTGCAATAATGAGCATTCTAATTGATTCTAATTGCGTGAGAGTGATGAAACGCATTTCGTTAGTTCACTGCATTATTACTATGACTAATTTTTATCATGACCTCTTTCGCTTAGACTACGTATACATTAGCAGTTTGATTGCCCAGTGCTTTATAAAAGGATAAATGTGCAATTAATTTATATGTGTCTTCTATTTATTTTGTGATTACAGTGTGTAGCACCATGGGTATTCTGTCAGACTTGGAGAGCGACCCACGTACTAATACCGATCGCCTAACCCGGCGTATGACCCATGCATTCCTTTTTACTACATATCTTACTAGCCTTGTCGAGTATTTTCACTTGTCGTCTTTGCTTCCCCTTCACGTTGTGTATTCTCTTCTTCTTACCCAAATAGTTAAGGCGTTTGTCTTCTCAGTAGTTATAGCAATGCAACAGTTCGTTTTCTTATTTTATATATCATAGCCGGATACATAGATACAAGCATAGTACAATAACAGTAAAGTCATTCTCCCAAACCAAATCCAGTCAAGAGTCGCTGGGCGAGTCTGCTGATAGAAATTGCTACATCCACTCCTTCTGGAATCAAGCTGCTGTCTGACGAATTCTCACAAATATGATAGTTTTGTAGCTTTGGGTTTTGGAGCTTCAATTATCTAATTTGTCAAATATGATGTAAATAAGTATAGAGATTGGTTAATCAAGCCAAATGATGCAATCGTAATTTTTCGATCGCGTGTTAAACATGATATTTTCATTCCCATGGAACCAGCTAATGTTTACCAAATTATAACTCTATACCAACTCTATACTATATACCAACCTGTCATTCATTCGCTCATTTTTATACGCCCATATGGAAATGTGGTCGTATATTGCCGTCGCCCCCGTCCGTCCGTCTGTCGGTCCGTCCGTCCGTCCGTCCATCGTCCACAATTTCTTGTGAACACTCTATAGACTACATTTATCATCTGATTGTTTTGAAATTGATATATGTTGTTTGCATTAGTGAGACGAAGAAGCCTATTTAAATTCAATAACTTCCGTTAATTTCTTCTGGGGTTATGGCCCTTATTTCACTTTGTTGCACCTTGTGAACGCTCTAACGACAAAAGTTATCAACCGATCTGTATGAAATTTTTTTTACATCATTTAAATTAGTAAAACAAAGAAGCCTATTGAATTTCAGCAATTTCCGTTTATTACATCTAGAGTTATGGCCCTTGTTTCACTTTGTTGGATCTTGTGAACGCTCTAATGGCAACAGTTATCATCCGATCTGTTTGAAATTGATATGCATCATTTAAATTAGTGAAATGAAGAACTCTATTGAATTTCAGCAATTTCCGTTAATTACGCCATGAGTTATGGCCCTTGTGTCACTTTGTTGTACCTTGTGAATGCTCTAATGGCAAAAGTTATTATCCGATCTGTATGAAATTTATATCCGGCATGTAAATTAGTGCAACGAAGAAGCCTATTGAATTTCAGCAATTTCCGTTAATTACGCTCTGAGTTATGGCCCTTGTTTCACTTTGTTGTACCTTGTGAATGCTCTAACGACAAAAGTTATTATCCTATCTGTATGAAATTTATATGTATTGTTTAAATTAGTAAAAGGAACAGGCCTATTGAGTTTCAGCAAATTTCTGTTAATTACATCTAGGGTTATGGCCCTTGTTTAACTTTGTTGAATCTTGAGAACACTTGAACACAAAAAGTTATGACCTAATCTGTATGAAATTCATATGCATCATTTGAATTAGTAAAATGAAGAATCCTATTGAATGTCAGCAATTTCCGTCAATTACTTTTAGAGTTATGGTCGTTGTTTTACTTTGTTGACCCTTGTGAACGTTCGAACGACAAAAGTTACCATCCGATCTGTATGAAATTTACATGCATTATTTGAATTAGTAAAACGAAAAAGCCTGTCGAATTTCAACCAGTTCTGTAGATTACTTCCAGAATTACGGCCCTTGTTTTAGTTTTTAGAACCCTGTGAACCCTCAAACGACGAAAATTATAATGTCATCTGTATGAAATTGTCTATTAAATTCCCCTAATCACCTACAAAAGAATAATTATGCGACAACCCGTGTCAACTGTTCGGACAATTTAGCTGCTGTGGGCGTATGTTTTGTTGCCCGGCAACCTATCTTGATTTAAGTACATATATGCGAATCTAATAATTTGCCAAAGACATTAATTAATTCAATGCTGCTAAATTAAAGAGCAAAAATTCAACAAAAGTCTTACAAGTAGGGCACACTTTCCTCATTGTTGGCTTGTTTATTTCAGGTTTTGCAGCAGCACCAATTGATAAATGTATTGAAGTTGCCATTAAAAGTATAGAAAAACTTAAACCTGAACATTTGGTTCACATTAACATAGTTTCTAATGATTACGATACATTCCAAAAGATCTCGAAAGAATTGAAGTCAAAGGTACCAAATGACACTAAGACAAAAACATCATCTGCATTTTCAAATTATAGTTTAAAAAAATCAACAGCCTATGATTATTTATCCGCTGCTACCGATGTATCGTTTTCAGGGAAACAGAACAGTTCTGCTGACGTCGCTGTTTCACTAAATAGTGATGGTGGTAGATTAAGAAATATTGAAAAATATAGTAGAAAAACAGGTCATAAGACTCACATTGGTGGGGGAAATTTCAAAGGTTTTGACGATGAAGCAGGTTTGAATAATTTCCATGGTAACGACTATTATATTTCAAATTCTAGATCTGACAATAAAACATGGAATGGAAATTACACATCCAAGTGCTTGAGAGACGCTCCTGATTCTAAAATAGTACATGCCATGGAAAACGAACTAATGTCAAATTTTGTTGATCACCATGGAAACCAAAGAAACATGTCAGACAATAATAGTTATTATCCACATCATCACAGTCCTGATTACCATAATTCTAATGGCGGTGATAATAAATATGATAGCAGTAAAAATAGATCTAAACATGGGGAACACCGTTTTGGACAGGGACAGTTAGATAATGGCGCTGATTATAAATATGATAGCAGTAAAAATAGATCTAAAGATGAGGAACGCCATTTTGGACAGAAACAGTTTGATAATGGCGGTGATAATAAATATGATAGCAGTAAATATAGATCTAAAGTTGAGGAACACGGTTTTGGACAGGGCCAGTTAGATAATGGCGGTGATATAAAATATGATAGCAGTAAAAATAGATCTGAAGGTGAGGAACACTGTTTTGGACAGAAACAGTTTGATAATGGCGTTGATTATAAATATGATAGCAGTAAAAACAGATCTAAAGTTCAGGAACACCGTTTTGGACAGAAACAGTTTGATAATAGCGGTAATTATAAATATGATAGCAGTAAAAATACATCTAAAGATGAGGAACACTGTGTTGGACAGAAACAGTTTGATAATGGCGGTGATTATAAATATGATAGCAGTAAAAATACATCTAAAGATGAGGAACACTGTGTTGGTCCAAACTGCACCCAGACTTGCGGTCATGTACTTTGCTGTGTTTGTGAGGGATCCAAAGATCCATGTTCGTTTCTTCAAGATGATGATGTAAAGGAAGATTCCACTTCTCGTAAACAGAAAACCTGTAATCATTGTAAAGACGTTATCAAAGGTCCTGATTGTACTCTGAGGTGTGGCCATATTGTTTGCTCAAAGTGTCAAGCATCAAAGTATTCATGTCGATATTCTCGAGATAATGGTCCAGAAGTTGACCAATATTTACAAGAATTGTCCTCAAAAGGTAACAGTGAAAACAGCGGTGATGAAGATGACCACATTAAGGAAGAAGACGATATTAAAACTTGCGCAATCTGTATGGATGTAGCTTATAATCCGAAATGTTTGACTAAATGTGGCCATGTTTTTTGTACAGATTGTATTGAGACCTGTTTTAAACTTTACAAACCTGTCTGTCCAACTTGTGGAACAACTTATGGTATTTTGACAGGTGATCAGCCCACCGGAGTCATGAAGATCACAAAGTTCTATGGAGGAGTAGAAGGAGAAGAAAGGGCTGGCTGCTATCAGATAAATTATGCTTTTTCTTCTGGTGTTCAAGGTGTAAGTACATATAACCACTATGATAGCCAAAGATAATCCAAAAGAGTGGGGGCAAACAAGGGAGCGGAGGGAAAGAATGGGGTCACATGCTCCCACCGCCACTCCCACACACACACAAAAATACCAGAGTCCCTTTTCTAAGAACTCTTTAAAAAATAAAAGTACCAGTATCAAAGCCTAAATATTGAAATGAAATGAAATGAAATAGGCTTTAATGTCCTTCTTTCCTGCATCGACGGGACTAATGAAAACAGATGTACTATGAGGAAAATTTGGTCCGGACAGTGGCACTACTCTTATTTTCTTTTTCATCTGTCAATGTTTTTTTTATATATGTAAAACTAAATGTGTATACATGATTTCAGGTTTAGTTCAAACCCGGACAACTAGACATTATTGATTTGATCAAACCGTAAGATTTACTAGAGATCTGCCCCCCCCCCCCCCCCCGGAGTCATTCAAAAGGAAACGCGTCTATTCGTTCGGATCAATGAGAATCCCACATTACATATGTTGCAGTGTAAAAGTACCCATGCCAGTTGGAATTCGCCGATGATTAGGCGTTATTTCCCTTGTAGCAAACTGTAGAAAAGTGGGACTTTTCATTCTTCATTTCACCACCGCTCTCTCCTGAATGAAGGAATGGGGTTGGGTGACCGAGTGTTTAACGCATACGCATTGGATCAGAAGGTCTTTCATTGAGTCAAGTGGCTTGGTTTCGATTCCCCGCTCTTACGTGACAAGGAGTAGGACTGCTTGTCCATCCCTGTGGGTTTTCTCCCGGGTCCTCCAGTTTCCTGCCACTGCTAAAGACCCCTATGCGCAAGCAAATTATTGAAATAAAGTTGAACCATATGTTGGCCCCGAAATGACCTAGTTCGTGTCATGGACGTTAAACCTCATTTCTCTGAATGAAGGGGACTTTTTAATTTTATTGTTAAACATACATTATGCAAGAGCTTAATCTGCCTATTTCGGGTCTTTCTTTAGGCCTGAAATGTTTTTCTAAATTATTAATTAGACATTATTAACTTATCCAGGCCATAATCAACTCTCGGTGGCGTCGGATTTCTCCAATATTAAATAGATTAGAACAGTTCAGCCATATTTTGATTTAAGCTAAAAATGGTGGATCGAGACTTAGTTTCGAACAACCAATACGGTGGTTGAAATTATTGCACACGTCTTGTCAAACCTTCAAAGGCTAATATCTTCGTTCGCAATAGAGTAATTTGAATGAAATTTTCAAATTATTCATTTTACAATATCTATTTTCGAAGAACTATTATAGCAAAAATGCCTAGCTCTTTATCCAAATCTTACATAATGTAGCTTTAAGTTGTTTATGTTTTTTTTTAATGTTGTTTAGGAGAATCATCCTAACCCAGGCATCAGGTATTTACCTACAAGTCGTACAGCCTATTTACCAGCTACGATCGAGGGTAGAAAAATCTGTAAGATGTTGATAGTAGCATTTAAAAGAAAACTGATTTTTACGGTGGGAAGATCGACGACAACCGGAAAAGAAAATCGTATAACGTGGAACGATATACACCATAAAACATCCATGAATGGTGGTCCGACACAGTAAGTATTGTTGTAGTGTACAAATCACAAAACATCCATGGGAGGCAGTCCAACACTGGGGTCTAAGCATTGTCGTAGAGTGCAGATCCAGAGTCAATATTTTTATGAGATAAATACTTCACATATCAACCGAGGGTATTATGGTAAATATTTGTTTTAACACCGACATCAATGTTAAATTTATCCTAATTGATTTGACCTTAAGACAATGGTTTAGCCCATATCGGCTCTGCGACTGATCTGACAAAATTAATTAAGAAAACTAAGTTGCACGCGCATTACATTTTAGTAACCACGTGTTCACAAACTGGCATTCATTTTGTGCAATGTTGTCAAACGATTCGGACGACGTAATGATCAGCTCAAGTCAGTTTGTAGAAAATATGGTTGAAAAATAAAACGTATATTCGGACAAAGAATTATTTAAAGCTAGTCAAAGTGCAGAATTTATGCAGAAAATACTTAACAAGTATTTAATGTACTCGGATATTTCGGATTGTGAGATACATTTACAAATGATAAACGTTTTTCAATTTCGAGCAACAAGACGTCAGTGAACGTGCCAATAATGCCGTACCCATAAATACCCTTCGCAAAAATCAGTGGGCTGTGTGGCGTAATAGTAAACACGACAGTGAGTGAAAAATCCAGTGTGCCCTTTAAGATATGACTATATAAGATCTTATTTTTGATGCCTAGATTCGTCTATGAAGTAAGCAAAATAAAATGATGAATATTACCCACCGAATTCCGTATTTAGTTATGGGAATAGTTTTACATTTATGGATTACGAATAAAACTGATGTGGATATACTACATGTAGAATTTGAGTTTCAGACAAATTCTTGATGTTCAAATGAAGAAACTAAGTATTAACATGGGCCTGACGTTTCATAACATGCATGGGGGATCAAAGGAAATAACATCCCAAGTTGTGTAAAATCATATAACAGACCCGTAGCTAGCCCAAAAATGTTGGGTTTTGGCGGGAGGGGGGGGGGGGGCAAGGGCTTCTGGGGGCGCCGATGTACCTACACTTGACGGTCCATAGTTCATATGTGTAGCATTTATCCACTGATCCATATTTCACGTGTGTAGAATTCGTTTATCCAGTGATTTGATGTGTGTAGCTTTGGTTTATTCAATGTTCGGCTTTTCATATTTGTAGCTTTGGTTATCCAGACCCCACATATTTGGATCGTGTAAAGGAAGAATTAGCCAGTAAAGGAGTAACGAAAGATGACATCCGAGATGTTAGACTACTCGATGATGAAGTCATCCATGCTTAAAATATTTAAATATGACTTAACGATCCTCAATAACGAAGAGGATCTGGCACCAAAATTGTATGTCAAGTGAATAAGAAAAGTATGTCTTTATAATTAATAATTATATACATGTAATTATTTAAGACTTTATACTTATAGATTATATTTATGGTAAGCTTATATTTTTGGTATTTTTATAAAAAGGATAAACTTATATTAATTGGTCATTTCTTGTGACACAATGTCGCATACTAAACTTATAGGCTGTCTGTCTACAGTTAGCTCCGCTTGAGAACAGACACTAAGCTAGTTGACCGACATTTTAAGTACTAAATCGACGATTTTAGTCGAAAACAAATGTAAAGTTCGAGAATTTTGTTAAGGATTTATTCTGCTTCCATTTAATACAATTGAAAAAGTTTATTTAGTCTTTGCGTGTATGACAGATGTGAAACGAGTAGAACCGCATTATAAAAAAAATATATTAATTTTAGATATGGCGGCCATTTAGGGCAGAGATCAATTCTCAAATTATGAAGTAGATGGATCTCTGTGTGCAGAATGACAATGTAGTTGCACATGTATAGTTATGTTTCGGCAAGCATCTCTTGTTTCTTGCTCCTATTAAATTCCGAGAGAAATGGGTCATAAGGTCATTTCTGGATTGACATATGGTTCAGTCTTGTTTCAATAGTTCTTTGGCAGTGGGAGGAAACTTCTAATTCAATATTATTCACAATATTAGAAATTAAAAACACAATTTAGAATTCAATATTAGTCCATTTCAATCAATATTAATGTTGTTATCTTATTGTTATGGATTTCTATATTTAAGACAAAACGTTTTAAAATCGGTACACAACGTCATCTACTCTATGGTTTTGTGTCAAATTTTATAAGTTATGTCACGTCAATCATAATGGGAGTTAGGATATGGTTCATGTTCTGACTGACATGTCCAAATACTGTTTTAATCAAGTGTATTTTTGTTTTCAATTCGGACTTTTAACTAGATTCAGATTAGTTAAGCCCTGGCCCTTGTATACAGTACAGTGTTTGTTTTTGAACCTCCATTTTAATTAGATAATTTTCGTGTACTTAAACTTTAATTTGACGTTCACAAATGACATAATAACTAATTTTAATATTTTGTGGCTCGTGAGCTGCAGTCATGTATTCCAATTCCAAACCTGCTCACAACCGAGCATCTCTATTAAATAACTTAGTTTTTATTTGCTTGTTTATTGTTTTGATTTTTCTTGTAAATATATATATAAATGTTAAGCCTATTTGTCATTCTTATGCAAGGGAAATGAGGACGGGGAAATGAGTGGAAGGGGCAATATGAAGGTGGGGGAGGTATAGAGAGAGAGAGAGAAATGGGGTTTAACGTCCACTCGACACAAACTAGGTCATTTCGGGACCAACATATGGTTTCAATTTTATTTCAATAATTCGCTTGCGCGTAGGGGTCTTTAGCAGTGGGAGGAAACCGGAGGACACCCACGAGGTTGGACAGGCCACCCTAATCCTTGTCACGTGCAACCGGGGATTCGAAACCACGCCAGTTGACTTAATGACAGGCCTTATGATACAGCACGCACATGCTAACCATTCGGCCATCCAACCCCCCGGGGGAGGTATTGAGGGGTCAGTACGAAAGTGGGGAAAGGGGTCAATGAAAATTGTATGTTGTTAGTCTTTTTATGTTATGTTAAAACAGTGATTTTTATAAAATAATATTCAATACAGTAACTTACAGATAGAGCGAGGGACCCAGGCATCCATCGAGAGGTTGGTGGGAAGGGGGGACGGGGGCATCCAATTTTAAAAGTGAATTTAAAATGAAGTTTTTAAAATTGTTATTATCTCTGAAATCTTTATTGTACAGACATTCCTACTTTATTTGATTAAAAAAATTATTATGTTTTTGCTTATATAAAATGTCTTTCTTTCTTACATTCCTGAGTACTAGTACCTATACGGAGTCTTGGTGATATACAATCAAGGTATTGGCACCTGGCATTACCAAACACCTCTGCACACTGTTGATTAAATACATCTGATTAAAAACAAAGAATCTGGTAAAGGAGAGCTCGTTTGATAGCAGAATTATGTAAACTTCAAATGTTCAAAACTGTCTTTTAGAATTGATCATTGTGTTTCAATCTGATTAAAACACAAATCGTTTCTGTTTTTGAGCTTGTTCTCTGTCCATCTATTAAAAAATGTTGGCGCATCTTGCATTGCGACCGCTTGTTTAATTTTCTTTACAAAACTTTACATATATCAACAATGAGGGCCGATTTCAATTCTTTGGAAATAAATTTTATTTAAAAATTCCAAATGAAATGAAATGAAATGGGGTTTAACTTCCTACTGTTTTGCTCCGACTGGGCTAATGAAGACGGTAAAGATTCCAAAGCAAGTCTTAGTCTCTAAACATATCAACGGTATGCTTCTAGTAGAAGTTCTACTTTTTGCCATATTCAGTTATGTTATTTTATCTTTTATGGAAATGGGCCTCTGTGACTCAGCGAGTAAGACGTTGGCTCAGTAATTTGGAGGTCGGGTGATAAATCCCTGCATTGGCCGAGAAAGTTCGTGGGGATTTTCCGGCGTGGTTCCACCTTGTCAGTGATACAGGACGAAGGGACTGCGTATAGTCATTGGGATGGGATGAAAAACCTAGGTTTCATGCACGTAAAAGAATCCTTGACAGTTGGAATTCTATGTATGGTCATTTGATTGACTTATCAGCAGTGATGTTTCTAGTGGGATATCCACAGTTCCGTGCATAGCACATCAAGAATTCTCTGCAACAGACAGTTTCATTGGCTAACCGGAACGCGAGTTATATAACAACTCTTCGAGATCCTAGTGTGGTAAAGATAAGTAAAACGAAATTTTGAACTATAAAAAACGAAACGAAATAGGATCTGTTTTAATCATATTGTTTCATTTCCCTTATGGAAAAAACCCAATGCAAACCCCATGGGTCACAACTGTTAACAGCATCAGATTTTCATGGGTCCCATAGTGATATGTGTTTAGTGATAATATAACACCTCGCTTTGAATGATTAGAAATTAATGCATTAAACATTTTACACCATTTATCTTTGCAGGTTGACACTCAACCTTGTTGATATTTTTAGGATAAAATTTGACTATTACGAATTTTCATTGTACACACTTAAACTTAAACCATCTTCTGAATGCTCTTGTTTACACAAAGTGGGGCGGGAGTAATTCGGTCATATCCAAAGAGGACACACTTCCTTTGCACCGCACGTATCAATGCGATTTTGGGGGACTATGTCACTGATTGATTTATAACACAACACCGGGATCGCGGGCAGGGGCTCCAAAAAAGCCATATTCATATGTGTGGGGAGGGGGGGGGGGCAGGAGGGGTCGGAGCTGTGTGGAGCATACTAGAGTCGATTTGTAGCATATCTGACCCATGGTATATGTTTGATACTGGTTGAACATTATGAATTTATGAAAAGCCTATGATTTTAATCTTGAAACCCGCATTGAAACCGCGTGATTTTTTTGCAATTTGCGAGGGGGTACAAAAACTCAAGGCGGCGCAAAAACTCAAAACCATGGCGCAAAACTCGGCATTGCGTCCATCTCCCGAAAGGAGCATCCTGGCAAACGTAACATTACACTTTATAAGTTAAAAAAACCAAAACAGTTTGATTAAAAATCGAGTAATAGATGGCACAAGGAATTCAAAGAGAAATACCCTTTGGTCATCTGCTTTCGCCAAAAGACGGTGGACAGATCGAAATATATTCTGTAACACACTGTAAGCAAATGCAAAACATCCGACTTGCAAACGCTCAACAATTTAAAACAATTCAGGCTGAACGGACGCGTGCATATTATGTCACTAATAATGAAGTGTTGCTGAACTGCCAACCAAGAAGATAATGAAGATGAGCAATATGCAGTGTGCTATATGAGAAATTATAACTGTCAATGGTTCATTTGTATGCACGGTACTTCCCTGGCAGAGATAACTACGTCGGAAAATTCCACGGAACTTTCTGTCAAAACCGGGACCTCATGGTCATCGAACCAACGTGTTACTCACATCGTTTCTCTTGCCACATTATAAGGATTAGTGCTTAACAATAAGACTAATGTGTACAAGAATGTATTTATTTCTTAGCGAATAAATGGTCATAAATCTAGAATATACGGTTAAAGTAACAATGTTAGATTGTTAGAAATGTATAAAAACAAACTACCGGTACGTCCATAGCTTACAATGTTATGACCATCTACAAGATTATTGAATCTTCAAACCTCCACATTTCTCTATTACAGCGTTAGACCACAGATAGGAAATTATTAGCACCATGGTGTCTAATCTTGGTCATACAGTAATACGACCGATTTTAATTACCAGGAGTGGCTGACTGTAGCCGGCCGATTGGAAGGCGATAGGCCTATTGTTATTTAGGCATTGATTGATTTCCCATTACTACGCCATTTACTATCACTTCCTTATTATTACTTTTCTCATAAAATTAACACTCCCCATTAACTATCATTCATTATTACCTTTCTCATAAAATTAACACACCCCATTAACTATCATTCATTATTACCTTTTTTTTCTCATTAAATTACGACTCACCATTAACTATCATTCATTATTAACTTTTTCTTTCTCATTAAATTACCACTCCCCATTAACTATCACTTTCTCATTATTAACTTTTTCATTCTCATTAAATTACCACTCCCCATTAATTATGGCTTGTCCATTGATTTGTCATCCCAATTAACTAGTACCTCTCGGTTAACTAGTACTACCCGTTGTTATCTATTAGTTTCCCAATTACTATTACCTCGTTATTAACTTTTACTTCCTCCTATACTATTACTTAAGGCTTCTCCGTTGATTTCTTCTTCCCAATTAACTGGTACCTGTCGGTTGACAAATACTACCCGTTGTTATCTATTAGTTTCCCATTAACTATTCCTCGTCATTAACTATTACTTCCGAATTAACTAGTACCGCTCGGTTAACTAGTACTACCCGTTGTTATCTATTAGTTCCCATTCACTATTACCTCGTTATTAAATATTACTTCTCTATTAACTATTACTTATCGGTTAACTATTCCTCCCCCGTTACTACTACTACTTCCCTATAAATTTGACTTGTCCCCATTAACTATTAATCCCCATTAAGTATTATTTCCCCAATAACTATTACTAAAATTTTAACTTAAATTTTTCCCGATTTAAAAGTTTAGCGAATTAAATATATGAATGTTATTGAGGGATGAAACAAGAACCTGCTAATGGTTACTTATCGGTTAACTATTACTTCCCCCATTACTACTACTTCTCTATTAATTTTGATTTGTCCCCATTTATCATTAATCCCTATTAATTTTGACTTGTCCCCAATAACTATTAATTCCCATTAAGTATTGCATCCCCAATAACTATTACTAAAATTTTAACTTAAATTTTTTCAAATTTAAAAGTTTAGCGAATTAAATATATGAATGTTATTGAGAGATAAAACAAGAACAGGTTAATGGTTAATGCATCGCTAGCCTGTGTGCAAGGGGGGTAATACGTTTTACTGCAATGTTCTTTATTCATACCGACGCACGAGGCGTAGGCCATCACGTGCGCAATATACGTCTGTTCATGAACACCATGGAAGAGGTGTGACATGGGACCACGAGCAAAGATGGCGACGTCCTGGGCAGAATGTGTTTCCTCTACAGCGGGAACTGCTGCCGGTTGCTGGTACTCTTTGTCTTCTGAAACAACAATACAACAACATAACATTAAATACGCACATTCACTTTACTATCTTACGTGTTCTCCGCATGCGTAGTTGTTGATTTTATTTAATACTAGCAGGAAACCTGGCTTCGCCCGGGTCCCAATTTCGCCCGTGGCCCAAATTCTTCCTACTTAGATTTCAGGAATAAACACTTACGTTTCGGATTATTGTGTGCCGGACCAGTGATTTGGATGAGCATAATTACAGGATTGTACCTGGAAGGTGTGGAAGAATTGCTCAGTAGCCCGATGTCATAATTAAATGTCAGATGGCCCAGAACCAACATAATGTTGTATGTAAGCAGTTGGCATTAACGCCCCGGATGACCATAACGTACGTATGCAAACACACTGACAAATCCGCGACAACTCCGGTAATTTCCATTTGGTTTAGCCGAAAGTATGTCAAGGATTACAACGGCTTCATTAGCCCAGAATTCATATCTTAGGATAAATTTGTTTTTAGCCGATGAATAGATAACACCCTTAAAGTATACCAGTTTAAGTATCGCCAATAAAGATACTGGGCCCTTATTCACGAAAACTTAAACTAAGATACAATAGAAATTTGAAGAAATACTGCAGTTCGATTGGCTGACCAGTAAAATCAATTTGCATATATCCAATTTGTATATTGGTCAGCCAATCGAATTGCAGTATTTCTTAAAATTTCGATTTTATCTTAGTTTAAGTCTTCGTGAATAAGGGCCCAGGTGCTAACATGGAAAGTATAAAATACACAGTTGTCTTACTTGTGTCAACACCAGTTAGATTGTTTCTAGTGTAGTTGGGACCATTACCATATACTAGAGTGGTATAGGGCATCTTGTCTATAGGGACATCTTCCGGGTCCATTGGATCAACCAACCCTGTTTATAAAAATACATGGAGATTTAAATAAAAAATATGCGCACTGTCTATCGGAATGGAATGGGGTTAACGTCCCGATAGCCCAAATACTTCGGCCAATTTCAGATTCTGGTAATTGTACATTTCATTGGCTACGTGCACATTCCCAGGATATTCTTATTCTTCAACTTTCAAATGCCAAGGGTCTATTAGGTGGACTAAGCATTTCTTGGTCGAATAACAAAAAGCAAAAAAAACCGACTCTACCCCTTCTCTCAATCTGATTAAAATAAAGATCTATATTTCGTTTCGTTTTTTATACTTTCGATGGCCTCTACGACATGAAGATCTGACCAGTTGTAGTGGAAAGTCACGTCAGACCTCATACGAGCGGTTTTTGACCCTATGACGTCAGACATTCCATTAACCAATCGGCGTTGATGTTCCTAGTTCCGTGCACCTCACGCCAATGCCCCACATCACCCAGAACGTGGGTTATATACCAACTCTTCCAGATTCTAGTGTAGTAAAGACAAGTAAAACAAAATTTTGAACTATAAAAAAAAATGAAATAAGATCTGTGTTTTAATCGGATTGTCCCTTCTCTTTATCAACGAGCATTTTCTAACATTAGAGGACAGACGGTGTGAATTTCTTTCCGATGGGCCTACATTAAGCTAGCTTCTGTAATAATACAACATCGAGAAACTGATGGCGTTTTGGACTAACTTAAATTCTTTGTTGCGATTGGTCGACGGCAGATACGCGTGTATTAGAGCAATTTAAGTTTCCGCAATATTATGCCAATCTTAACAATAAAACCACTCTACCTTCAGAAAAGTGACCCTAACACAGTCAGTAGCCATAATATCCATATCACGTGATCAAAACATCACAGATCATGAGGTCAAAGCACTACTTTTTCTAGTGGAAAACCAGTTTGTAAACAAATAAACCAAAATAAAATGGCCTCAACACCAAGAAAACCTGACTGTGTAACAACACGGATACAACCCATTGTAGCACAAATTAGAAATTTCCTCGATTCTGATTGGTCGAAAAGTGTGGTCGAATGGACAATAAACCCCCTCTAAATTTTCAAGGCGAATTACTGCGTATAAATATAACAGTGTACTTTTTTTCATTTTTGTGCCAATGATCTTCCTCAACTCAAATCTTTATTGGCAAATATCTTCAAGGAATTCTGCACACATGACTATCACACCAGTTTCAAACATCATCTTTTATGAAATCACATTTCTGAAATACATAAAACAGTAGAAAATCAGTCATAAATTAATTAAAACCGTTTTCAGGTATCCAAATATATTCGTAACTAGGCAGTGACAGTGTCAGTAGCCTATGTTTTCTTTTTTGGTAGGCGAGCTTCACTCACCAATTTTTATTAATCAGGTGGATTTTTTTAAAAAAAAATCATGCTTTCAAAATCTGACTAGCATGATCTACCTAATAATAAATCATTGGTCACAAGGAATCGCTTGAAAATACGAGGGAGTCGAATTCAGCAGCTGAAATATAGGCCTAATCATTATCATTTATGCCAAAATTGTCATTTGTTGACAACACGTCAGAACAGCTACATATAGCAACCACTGGCATCTTAGACTAGACATCATTGTCATGGTTTATACGGTATTTTAGAGGATGTAAGTATGAACTGCAATTGTGTAAAGAAGAACTAGCTACAACATTGTGATAACAGTCTGCAAAATAAAATAATAAATGCTGAAAACTTACATGAAACTCCCGAAGCGAAGTCATTTTTGTTGCCAAGGGTTCCTCCTCTTTTAGTCTCGGATAGCAGGGCGGAATTATTTCAATCACGCTGACACTCGCCTCGAAATACCGCAATAAAAAATACTAATTTCTCGTTCTTTTAAAGATCTTCAAACGTTAAAAATATTTTGTTGTTTTCGATATCCGAATAACATTTTCTTTCATAATTCATTTACCAGCAACTCGAGACTCAAAAATTTTAAATTTGCAGGTAAGCAAGAGACCGTCTATTGAAAATATTTTGAAAAATGAACGCAAGCGCGTGACCAAATAACGACTTTTTAAAATGGGTGTAAAAATGTTTTCTAAATAGTTCCGAAGAAAATCTCCAAATATTTGTGCTACAATATCGATAAACACATTCCTGTTACGTATTTATCGGGTGTTTATTGTCCATTTAACCATGCTTGAATTATCCATTAGAACAACTCGACGCTATCGCGTCTCGTGTTCTAATGATTCAAGCATGGTTAAATGGACAATAAACCCCCTCTAAATACGTAACAGGAAGTGTTTATCTCCTAATTAACTTTTAAGCCCTACCTTTGAAAAGTTTACAGCTCATGGAGGTCACCATCTTAGAACTAATTTGTGCTTTTCTCAACTTTTATTGTCTCACAAAAGGTAGAAATTCTTAAATCTGGAATTTCTTCATTATTTTCACTCGAGTGCGTCTTAAAGGACAATATTGGTGCCAGTCATAATCACATATGCGATAGAACTGGTTAAACACATTCCAAATATAATTTTATCTCAGAGATCATTGCTACGATAGCTGAGTAATACAGTTTTTCTGAATCGGAAGTGACGAACGCCACAGGAAAACACGAGACGCCTCTCTATAAAACTGATTGATGTGACGAATGATAACGGATATACGGGCGAATTCCTTTGGCGTGTATACATTGGAATGCACGTAAAAGACCCCTTGGCAGTTGGAATTCGATATAAGAGTAGGCAAAATTTCCCTCATAGCACACTGTATGGCGTATGCCCGTCTTCATTAGCCCAGTATAGGAGCAGAACAGTGGGGGTTAAACTCCATTTCATTTCATTTACTTTACTTTTTAAGCCATAGTTTCGTACATATACGTACCTAATATATCATTACCAATAGCAGGATAGCCGGCTATATTAAATACATGAGAATGATCAGCTGTCACTATGATTAACGTATCCTCATCTGATGTTTCCTCCACAGCAGCTTTAACAGCATCATCGAAAGCCAAGGTATCATGTAGAGCTTTCTTTGCTTTTGTCTCATGATGTGCATGATCAATACGAGCGCCTGAAATCATATACAAATTATTTATACTGCTTTAACTGGTACTATATCGTTTTTTCTAGTCGATTGATCATTGTTATTTATTACATTTCTATCGTACACTACTACAATTAAGCATATAAGCATACCTGACACGGATGGAAACCATCTCTTTTAAATCGAGGTTAAAAGCTTTTGCTACGCCCAACATTTTAAAACGGGAGAGGTCTGACGTCTAAACGTCATAAAGGCGGGGCTAAATATATGACGTGAACAACAGGCAATCATAAAATCTTCATGACAGCCATGGTCCGTAAAATACTCTTGGTGCAATTTTGATCGGCTTTACATGTCACCAATACGAAGCTTTGACTTCCTGGAACATCATGTTACGTCATAGTCCATGGCAGACAGAGACCCATCTACTTCATACTTCGGGAATAAATCTCTTTCTTGAATGACCGCCATATACAAAATTTAGTATTGTTTTGTGATGCTGTTCTACTCCGTTTCACATCTGGCATACACACAAAGACTAAATAAACCTATTCAATTCCATTAAATGGTTGCAGAATAAATACTTCTCAAAATTCTCGAAATATACCTAGTGCTATCGACTAAAATCGTCGATTTAGGACATAAAATATCGGTCAACTAGCTTAGGGTCTGTTTTCAAGCGACGCTAACTGTGGACAGGCAGCATAAATTTAGTATGGTCATAGTCAACTAATCAACACAATGTTAAAGCCGTCGCGTTCAAGGTAACGCCGGTGTTAATCCATTTGTCATCTTGTAATAAGTGTTTTACCGACTAGGATTTCCATCAGTGAGTAAGGCGCTCGCTCGGTGATCAGGCGTTCCAGTATTCGACCCCTTTGTTGGCCGAATAAGTAGGAACAGCGTCTAGTCTGTTCGATGCGACGACAAAACGAGGTGTACACTTTGTGTTACACGTGAAAGAACCATTGACAGTTGGCACCGATTTGCTGTCAGGCAAACTATCCCTCATAGCACACTGCATGACTCATATCATGTCCGTCTTCATTATCGCGGCCGGAGCACAAATGTTGGACGCTAAATCCTATTCCATTCATTCATTCATTGAAATACATCAAAATATAGAATGTAAATATATAAAATTTCCCTGATAGTTTGAATATGATTTCAATCTGATTAAAACACAGATCTTATTTCGTTTCGTTTTTATAGTTCAAAATTTCGTTTTACTTGTCTTTACTACACTAGGATCTGGAAGAGTTGTTATAAAACCCGCGATCTGATTGATGTGGTGATTAGCCAATGAAACGGTCTGCTGCAGCTAATTCTTGGTGTGCTATGCACGAATTGTGTTCATCCTACTAGAAACATCAAAGCTGATTGGCTAATCAAATGTTTGACGTCATAGGGTCAAAAGTTGCTCGCATGACCCCTGACGCGACCTCCCACTACAACTGGTCGGATCTTCGTGTAGTAGAGGCCATTGAAAGTATAGAAAAAAACACGAAACGAAATAAAAATCTGTATTTAAATCAGATTGAATATGATTTTCAATCGATAGTTATGTCGACCGTCAATGAAATACATATTCAAATATAACATTTGTACCTTCCACAAACAAGAAAAATCCGTCATCATCTTTCTTGAGAATCTGAATGGCTTTTCTTGTCATTTCTGCTATTGATGGTTGACCTGTAGAACTATTATCTCTATCAAGCTCATACGACATGTGACTTGTAGAAAATACACCTGGAAAATATACAACAAATATGAAATGAGGTCCGAATTGACCACTGGTGGGGCATAGTGCAAATCATGCGGGGGGGGGGGGGATCTCTATTTTTTTGGGTATTTAGCCATTTAAAATTTGAAGTAAATCAAAATGAAAATGAAATATGCATACGGATGAATACTATATGGTTGGATTCTCCTAAAATCATCAAGCACTATGCAGCTGTATAATTAATATCTTAAACATACCCTGCACGCAATCCAAAACCTATTTAACGATGATTATATAAGAGCTAAACCTGCCCATTGCAGGATTTTATTTTGGATTTAAATGTTATAAACTGAGGAAGCGATATTTATAAGCATGTTCATGTTTTCGTATCCTACATACTGTAATTCAGCTATAAAAATTGTAAATATTGCAAATATTGCAAATAAATAGTGTTTAAAAAGTAAACTATTATTGGGAGATTTATTAACATGATAAGCCCATCCAACTTTCTAGAGATTTAAATGGATTACAACGCCCGCGAGATTTTAAAATTTAACAATAAAACGGATAATCGAGAATTAGTTTCGTTTGTCAAGACCGTTGCTATGATAAAAAAAACCCAATCTACTCCACATGCGCAATAAATAATATAGTTGTAGAGTAGAATAATCAGACGCTAGAGATTGCCATTCCATTTTTTTTAAAAATTAGAGTAAAACGGAAACGATTGAATGTAAATTAGTTTATATACATTTATAGTACATTATTATATGCTTTGCGACTCCTTTCTAGGTCCCAAATATTAACGATTTGGCTGCTTTAAACATACATTATACTAGAAATGGTTCCACTACTGATGTCTTCCGCCTTACTCCAGCCACAATAGTGGCTCGTCCTACAGAGTTCCTTTGCGCAAGTTTTTTAGTGAAATCACTACAAAAAGGTTACTGGCCTATAGCTCCCTTAATTTACACATAAACTGACCCCAAAAAATACTGCACCTAGCTTAACATATAATAGATCAATTCCTATTGAAATAAAGGTGAAGCCTTACCGCATAATTATATGATTTGATGAAACCCAACTGCTACGCGAAATTTCAACTGGCTGGTTTCATGGCGGCTGGGGTGTAATACGTCATTACAAGAAACATCGCTATGCAAATGTAGAACGCATAACCACAAAGAAAAACTGTTCGGTAACTATTTTAGTGGTCCAGTCTTCACTATTTGTCATAGAATTACTTATTCCAATACAAACTGTAATGATATGTGTAGACAATTGTGCGTTTGAACCTAATTGAACTTGCGTAAGGATTCTTAGACTGTATCAATTGTAACGTTAAACACACAGTTTAACGTTACAAGTATAGTAACTAACATTATACAAGAGCTATATCTGCCTATTGCAGGCCTTTCTTTATGCCTTTAATATTATATAAATTATGAATTACACATCAATTATCTTACCAAGATCATAATCAGCTCTCCATGCCATCTGACGGCTGATAAGAACGGTTCGACCTTTTAATGATTTAATTAAAATTGGATAATCGAGACTTCGTTTATTATCTTAACAACGTTAGCAATTACTATCGAGTAATTTGACTGAAATTTTTTAAATATTCCATGGTCATTATATGTTTTTGAACTATTATAGCGAGATCTGTCAGCTCTTTATTTAACCTTACATATATACTTAAATTACAGGTCTGAATTTTAAGTAAGTTGGATTTTGGATGTACCTTAGACAGAACGTAGAAATAAGCATAGGTATACTCCTTGTCATATATTCATATCCACACTAAGAGAAATTTTCAGTTCCAACACACTCTTTACCTGATGGGCGATTAAGGCCTACCTAGCAGATAATCTGATGGGCGATTAAGACCTACATAGCAGATAATCTGTAAGTCCGGTATCATTTTATCTTGTGTATATATCACTAATTCATTCGAATTGTTTAATATCAAATCTTTGTTTAAAAATTCGTAAAAATTATTTAAAATCACCCAAGTCATCTAAGTTGTACTTATGTCAAGTTTAAAGCTGACTGATTAATTTTGATAATGAGTGTCCAATTACAGTGTTAAGACCTACCTAGCAGATAATCTGATGAGCGATTAAGACTTAATTAGCAGATCATCTGATGAGCGATTACGACCTACCTAGTAGATAATCTGTTGCTTGTGGATCAACTGTGTCGAACTGTCCTTTATTCCACACATATTTATGACTTTTACCACCTGCCATCTTATTTTCTTCCCACTCCTATAAATTAAACGAGAGTCAATTCGGCACTAACAAGCAGAGAGAGAGAGAGAGAGAGAGAGAGAGAGAGAGAGAGAGAGGGGGGGGTTTAACGACCACTCGACACAAATTGGGTCATTTCGGGACTAACATATGGTTTAATTTTATTTCAATAATTCGCTTGCCTTAAGGGGTCTTTAGGAATGGCAGGAAACCGGAAGACCCGACGAAAACCTCACAACCCCTAAACACAAAGAACTAAAATACAATCTAATTAAAACACACATCCTATTTCGTTTCGTTTCTTATAGTTGAAAATTTCGTTTTACAGGATCTGGACGAGTTTTTAAAATAACCCGCGTTCTGTTGATGTGAGGGATTAGCCAATGAAATTGTATTCCTCCGATGATGCCAATCCGAACATTATGACCTCTAGAGTGCCCACAAGCTAGAGACGTGATTTTTGTACAATCAAGGGTCATAATCCATGAAGTTTCGATCCGATAGATGCCAATATCTAAAGGAATTGGGGTCTTTTGGAGATAAACCCATATTTCAAATTTCGTTAAAATCGGATAAGAATTGTGACCTGTGGAAGTCGGATGTCCGGACGGACGGACAGGGCTGACGACAGTATACGTCCACATGAAAAAAAAACAGAAAATGATAATAGAAAGGTTTTTTATAACAAGCGAGAATCTCGTAAGCTGTGACTTTTTCTGTGTCTTTTATATGGTTTTCAATGTCTCTGAATTTAAAGATAATTTCAAAACCTCAGCTTGGTTGCAATTCAAAAACAACAGTCAAAATGGAATCCATAAAGACGGATTTTAAGTTAATCGTTGTTTATTTCTGTTGGATATGACGTGTGACATGAATTTAGAGAATCCATGATGGTAGAAAGTTCAAATTGCCGCAAAAATGAAATCCAAAATGGCGGAATTTTAATTAATCGTAATAAAATAGTATTTTCTCCATATAACCAGCGAAAATATGGTAAGATATGACTTCTATTACGTCTTTTATATCGTTTTCGATGTGTCTGAGTTTAAAGATAATGGCGGATTTTAAGTTAACCGTCATTTTTTCCTGATGTGGGTATCGATGTCGCTGGGTTCAATTCTGATCTCCAAAAATCAATTTCAAGAATCCATGACGGCAGAAATTCAAAATTAAATCCAAAATGGCGGAAATGTATTCAATCGTCATTTATTTCCGTTGGGTATGGCTTGTAATATGTCTTATGTCAGTGTTTTTAGGTTGCTGAGTTCAATTTCTACCCCAAAACCTTGCAAAGATGGTGTAAATTTAAAACGACAATCAAAATAGAATCCAAAATTGCGAATGTTTTTGTTGTGAATATTGCTTGTAAAATAACGTTTTCAGGGTTACCGAATTCAATATTGGGTTCAAAAATTAAATCCAAAATGGCGGAATGTATTCAATCGTCATTTGTTTCCGTTGGATATAGCTTGTAATATGTCTTATGTCAGTGTTTTTAGGTTGCTGAGTTCAGTTTCTACCCCAAAACCTTGCAAAGATGGTGTAAATTTAAAACGACAATCAAAATAGAATCCAAAATTGCGAATGTTTTTGTTGTGAATATTGCTTGTAAAATAACGTTTTCAGGGTTCGTTTACTGTCTGCTACTCATTTCGCGACAAGTTATTGCAATTGCCACGATAATACTGTTTTTCACCAAGGAAATATTTATTGATATAATAGCTAGCCATTTAGTGTAGCGCGATAGTGAAGCTATACAAGAATACCTTGATAAGATTTCTACCATCTAGTCTCTGATTGCTATCGGTGACGTTTGTCTGTGGATCAGTTTCGTTGTTAGGTAATAACGTTCTTCTTCCTCCACCCAGCAAAACCTTAAAAGAGTAGGAATAAAGCAATGAGTTTACGTATTTTCTACTGCACAGACATTAGACCACTTAGAGTAGACCCCACCCATCTCACCCGAATTAATGACTTATTTGTTTATATTGTAACTTATATTGTTATTTGCATCACAACTTATAATGACCTACACTTATATCAGGAATTATAACGTATATGACAGGGTTGTAACGTATGTTGACTTACATTGATAGTTTGGTCAGGATATTAATTTGTATTGATATTAGGAATATAACTCATATTGTATCAGGATTATAAATTATTTTGATATCAGGATTATATTTATATTTGGGTCACAACTTACATTTATATCAGGAATGTAACTTATATTGTATCAGTATTATACATTATTTTGATATAAAGATTATAACGTTTACTGATACCAAGAATATAACATATTTTACATTGACTTACATTGATATCAGGATAGTAATTACTATTGATATTAGAAATGTAACTCATATAGTCTCGGGATTATAAATCATTTTGATATAAGAATTGTAATATACATAGCTTATATCAATATCGTGATAGCTATATAATTGTAAATGATATTGATATCAGGATTATAAATTAAACTGATATCAAGAATATAACTTATACTGACTTACATTGATATCAGGATTATCTTCAAACAGTTGTAAGGATATATCTTTACAGCCACCCGTTATGTCTTTAGTATTGACGTCACCTTCCCAGGCTCTGGCTACAGAATGAGCATAAGCTGCTGCTGGTGAGGCGTGAGACAATCTAGCTGTAGTTATTATACCGGTTGATTTACCTGAATGAGATACAGCAGACTTAATGTATGATTATTTCATAATGCCAAACAATCCAGGTGCGACTGGGGATAAGTTTATGGGGACCGTGATTGGAATAGATACAAAATAGTGTCGTCTCCGGCTATCGTGTAGTCCTCAACCCATTTCACAACTGCTTTACGTTGACTCTCAGAATGGTATGCTTAAGACTTATTAGTAGTGACACATTAGTATGTCTTGGTCAGATTCATCCCCTAAAAAATACATACCTTCATTTTGACTCCACTTTAAGATCGAATCAACATATGTTGATGTTTTCTGTGTAGAACAGTCTCGTCTAGTTACATTAGAGTCCACACCAACTGTTCCAGAATTCGCCTTGACACCACACAGATAGGCGGTAGCAGCTCCGGCAGAATCAGTCGTCTGACGATTAGCGTTGTATGTCTGTTGGAAATAAACAATTCGTGCGAGAAAAACTCTATCAGGTAATTATGAGAAAATCTACTGAAATGTTAATGAGAGAGAGAGGGGGGGGGGGGGCGTAAAGTTTACTTGACTTTAACTAAGTCATTTCGGAACTAACGTATGGTTCAATTTTATTTCAATAATTCGCTTGTACGTAGTGGTTCCGAGCCCCGGTCGGAAACCGGAGGACTCGGAGAAAACCCACGAGGTTCTACTCTTTGTCACGTATATCCGGGGACCGAACTAATGAAGAGAAACATTTTGAACTGGAAGGGGCCTTTGCTCCTACTCATCTTCGATTTAATCACATCAGGATCCCTAATCACTGAGCCACTGTGACTCTCTATATACAACTAACTAAGATAACGTTTGGCATCAGGTGTTCTAGAAACATTATGTGTAGAATTTACCTTTGAGAGAGCAACATGTGGAAATGTTTCGAAGGCTAGCGTTGCAGCACCTTCTCTGATTTTTTTCTCTAGCTGTGAACGATATATTCTAGCGGCTGTAACAGTTGATATGCCCAGTCCATCTCCCAGGAACAGGATCACATTCTTTGCTACCTTAACATTGGGTTGAATCTTTAAAGAATCTTTAAGTTCATCCTGGGCCCAGTTTATCCAATCCTGACGAGCTGCAAATATTTATAGAATAACATTGGTAAGAATTTGTAGTAAGTCGGTGTCTATTGGTCCCAGTCTATCCTCTTTATGAGAGAGTCATTTAGTTTTAGTTCAATAATTTGGTTCCACGTCGGAGGGGGGAGGGGGGCTTTAAAAGTTGGAGGAAACCGAAGAAAACTCACAAGTTTGGACAGGGGACCATACTCCTTGTTCCGTACAATCTGGAAATCAAAACCAAACCACGCGAATCAAAGACAGACCATATTTAAAATTAGATGGAATTAGCCTGTCCGGGCAAAATTTCCCTAATGAAGTGTGCCCGTCTTCATTAGCCCATGTTGCAAGGTATAGTCATTCGGATGGGACGACAAACCGAGGTCCCGTGTACAAGTAAAAGAACCGTTGTCAGTTGGAATTCGATATCACAGTAGACCGTAGCACCACTGTCCGGGCAAAATGTCTCTCTGGTGAATGCTAAACTTTATTAGCCCAATCGAAGCGGAACATTTCGTTTCATTGTTACTTTAAGTTTACCCAAATAAAGCCCCTAATCTACGTGACCTCTAATGCAGTGCGGTTATTTTCAGCCTCTTATTTTTCTCCACCGACTGGATCATCATGCGTATTCATAAAGAAAACTATTATAGTACAATGACACACTTGACCTTGTCTCGTTGATTTCCCGTGTTTTGAATAGTGAATGAGATGAATAGACAGCTTTTCATCTTATGAATATTCATACCGTATAAAAAAGAAATGAAACGAATTGAAATGTGATTTAAGGTCCTACTGTTCTACTCCGACTGGGCTAATGAACCGGCCATACGTCTTACAGTGTACTATGATGGAAATTTTTACGCGGGTAGCGGCACAACGTCCTACTCTTATATCGAATTTCAACTGTCAATGGGTCTTTTACGTGCACGCCAATATGTACACGGGAACTCGGCTTTTCGTCACACCCGCCCTCCCTGCCCTAAATGCAAAAAAAGAAGAAACTGATAATGACTGATAACGCACGAATCCGTAGAGATTTCCTACCAGAGTAAATGTGTGTGTGTGTGTGTGTGGGGGGGGGGGCTATGTGCCTTCCCTTCCAAAGAAATGCCCTGAAGGTCTGAAAAAGTGCCCTCAACTTTTGGGCAATTTGACATTTCGGGCTGACGGGAAGAGTAAACAAAAATTAATGGTTGGCAAAATAAAGTGCCCTTAATATAACAAAACACTAATTTAACTTTTCTTTTAATTGAATACCACGAATTTGTACTGAATTGACTATGGATTAAAACATTTTGTCTGGAGCCACTCTGCTTTGTGCCACATTTATCATTAATCGATATATTTGTGAATGCAACTGCAACAGTCTGATCAGTTGATTTGAATTCAGGTGGGCATAGCCCAGAATTGTCCTTACAAAACCATTCGACAACTTACCCCGCGACGTTTTGTATTATTATAGACTAAAGGATTGATTGGTTGTTTAGAATTCAGGTAAGCCACATAAGTTAGGCTATATAATATTGGACCACATTATAATGTTACTGTATTCACGGAAAACGCGTTTGCGTCCGTCTATAATTTTTAAAACTTTCGGGGGTCGTTAAACCCCATGCTCTCTCTCTCTCTCTCTCTCTCTCTCACGCCTGACAACTCAGATGGCTTAAATCGACGGATAATGAGAAGATAAAACGACTGGCAACTGTAAAAATGGTATTTCACAGCCACTTTAAATCTATTTATAGTATACTACACCATACGTTATTAATATACGTGTATAATTATATATATTCTACACGATATATTATATCAGTACCAATATCTGTTACATGAGATAGCAGGTGGTGTTTACAAGGGAGAGAAAAACGCATATCACAATAATACGGTATATTTACAGAAACAAAATGAAATGGGGTTTAACGTCCTACTTTTTTGCACCGGCTAATGAAGATGGGCATATGAAATGCAGTGTACTGTGAGGGAAAATGTTTGCTCAGTCTGCGGCGCTACGACCAACTCTTATTTCGAATTCCAACTTTCAATGTTTTTTTTGCTTCCCATTTAAAGATTAGACGTTGATACTTTTGTTTCTAAAACTTCATATATTTACAGTCCGATCGATTATTGGCACATAAACGCAATGGCAAAATTTAGTTTATCATGGAAATATATTAATAGATACCGTCATCAAAACGCAAATAATGCGCTTTGTAAGCCACTCTTAAAACAGGTTTGTGTAGCGTGTCCTGCTGCACGATGTACGATCTATTATAAATATTTAAAATACAGATGTGACGTCATCCTTTGATGTTGTCGTACCATTATTTCAATATATTACTTAATGTCTCGCTCTCGACCATTAAACCACACAGATAGCAAGTAATAAAAATAAAAATAACTTCTTGTTTGTGAGCCAACGTCCCTACTCATGGCTACCGTAATATAAATAGGCCTTAAGAAAAATTTGTTAGAGAATTTTATACTCACTCTGTGTAAATACTGTTGGCATAAATGAAACGTATAGAATTATGAAAAGAAGTTGAAGTTTTCCCACCTGCTCCATTGCTATACACGAGTAACTCACAACTAGGGATATAAACACTGGTACATATAAGCTCTACTTTTATCGGGTTTCAGATAAAACACCACGCGATAAGCTTAACTGAAAAAAGGCAGGTATGCTTGCTTGTCTCCATTCGAGGCCAACACGGTTCAATACACATTGAATATATATAGGTTGTCTGGATATACATGGCGGCAAACATGCAGTATGTTGTCCAACACTACACTGTTAAAAATAATATGGTTGCAAATTATATCAATTCAGGTGGAAACTAGGTGCCACTTCCAGTAGTGTAATCTGCCTGATACACTATATTCGGATGAGTGTTGCACTCAGACAGTGTGTAATGTTACACTTAAATAGTTTACGCCCAGATTACATATAGACCGTCGAGTACTTCACTTCATGTTACAACGACATTAAATTGACAAATATCCACCAGACTGTTGGGCAATTAGACAACCTGTATCAATTTACAATGAATATAAATCTTGGGGAAAATTCAGTACACATCTCCTTACAACTTAGTGGAATAATGTGATTTATTCATTTATGCACCTCATCTGAACTAAATAATTAATATATAGCACGTGGTAATATTTTAGAACATTTACATGTCTTTAAGTGTAAAGAGGCTAAAATACTCTATACTGGTGGCGTTATAAATTAAATGAATTAAGATTATAATACATGATAACATTCTGGATGACATATTCGTTATAAGTAAACACTCTAAAATACGTTATACCTGTTTTTATTAAACATACATTATGCAAGAGCTAAATCTAAATCTGCCTATTGCCGGTCTTTCTTTAGGCCTGAAATGTTTTTTTAAATGATTAATTAGACATTAATAAACTGACCCGGGCCATAATTAACTCTCGATGGCATCGGATTTCTCCGATATTAAATAGATTAGAACGGTTCAGCCATATTATGATTTAATTTAAAAATGGAGGAGCAAGACTTAGCTTCGAACAACCACTACGGTGGTTGCATTGCACACGTCT